AAGTCACGACTCCAAGTTTAACAAATGCTACACGACATGCGCCACTGGAACCCCTAGTTGCCAAGCACCGACGCAAGGCTAGCTACGACACTATGAGCGAGATGCTGCCTGAGATAGAAACGGAGCAAGTTGGAGAAATGGGTACTTTTGGAGTGATCCAAAGATACTTCGACAGCCAGACGGGCGGTCCAGTATCAGTAGCGGAAACACTTTGCCACGCTTATTCGCCAGACCCGCAAGATATTCCTCTTCCCATGTCTCCTGAACCACCTGTTTCTGAGACGACCAGAAAGCCTACGGAGATCCATGCTATTGGTGAGCTCGATCTGGATGAGCTACCACCAACAGTACCGGGCCGTAGCCCAAAGCGGCTCACAAACCCAACATTTCCAGCTCAGACTGAGTCAGCCATCTCTGCGCATGGCGAGTTTGCCTTTACAGCTGACGAGCAACATTCGTCTGGTGACGAGAATGACAAGCTGGAAGATAATTTCCACGTCCCGAAGAAGCGAATATCAAAACGCCTCGATGTAGGACAAGCTGGCCATGTAGGTTCCTCGCAGGTAGGACGGTTGGCGCCACCAATTCTTAGTCACGATGCACTGACAGCAAGCGCTGATCTGGGCCTGAATGATCTCAGTTACTACCTCAAGCACACTGGACCAGGCACGGATTCTCAGCCTACCATACAGCAGCGCAAGAAGACGATGGTACTTTTCAAGGTCAAACAGCGCAAAACCCTAGCTGCTCGCGTAGGATCTGTGGAAGGCTCTCCTGAGCGAGCACGCAAACAGTCTCCTATCCCAACGTGCGCTCGCGAGATGACAACCTCTGGAGGCGCAAAACATCTCAGAATCGTCATACCTACTGAGAGTCCTTGCAATACTCAGGTGATGGCTGTCCCAACATCGCAGTTTCCGACACAACGACGCTCTCGACATATTTCCATTACGTTTAACAGAGAGATTCTTGGCCCTGTCGCCAGCCTAGGTGTGGAGCGCAAAATGTCCGACCCTGAAGTTCTCAGTCGTTCATTCTCTGAGCCGGTCCCGGTATCGCCGCGCAGCTTGAAGGAGCTTCCTAAATCAGCCGAAGCAGTACCTATCGAAGACTATCCGCTCGCAGCATCACCTAAGCTCGGGCCGCGAATAAGTCGAGAATATCAAACCAGAGCTCGGAAGCTGCGAGACTTGCAGCGTGTTAAGCGAAAGCCATTACCAGGATACTGCGAGCAAAAAGAACAGCATTCCGATGTTGTCGTGGGAGCCTTACCAACACCAGCGCATACACCAGAGCCGCTTTCAGAATCAAATATTGAAATCGACAGTGGCCATGATGAAAGCATAGAGGATGAGAGTATAATTAATAAGATGGCGCGGATGCAGGAGCGGGTCATGCTGTTGCAGAGACAGAACATGGAGTTGACAGAGGCGTTGGCGAAGATTGTAGGGCTCGAACTTGGGGGCGGTGATTTGAGGCCTGAAAATGTGTTGAAGGCGCTCAGGCAAGTTGAAGTTTTGCAATGAGAATTGAGATTGCAGTAGGTGAGGCAACTAGGTAGTTGGGTTGGTCTCTTTTGTTACCCTGAAGTCGCAATACGAGATGTCACGATTGCTTGTGACCGAATAAGGCTGGTGCATTATTGACACGAGAATGCTCCTGAAGATCATGACGAAGCTTCCCTGAAAGTTCCAAATTTAGCCCTGGTTCCTGAATGCTTGGCGTGTTTTCCAGCTACCAACAACACATATAGTAGCCACCTTGCTGCGCTTGAAGAAGATTGGAGTTTTTATAACTTTTGGTTTACGTCGCCCTCTGAACATATCGTTGAAGCTCACAGTAAGCTCCTAGCCCTCCTCGGTATCGTGGTTCTGTTCTCACCGCCCCTCTTATCGATAAGTCGCAGAAACGCCCCGCGACCCCCAGTCTCGCGCAGTAGCACCAGCTCCGGAAACAGGTCGATCGCGTCGCAAGCTTGTTTATTCTCCTACACCCTCTCGTCTTCTCACCTCCCGGACTCAACCCAATCTCAGCCCACGATGTCATCGACGGAAGGCCCGCTCTTCAGCTCTGAGCTCATCTCCCCCGAAGTCCTCAAAGCACTCCCAGAGGGCTACAGCTGTCGACCGCTCGAGAGGAAAGACTACCACAATGGCTTCCTGGATGTACTCAGAGTGCTCACCACGGTGGGAGACATAACTGAGGAGGTACGAAATCTTCTCTTTTCCTTAGAATACGCACACGAGAGTCCCAGAGTCCCAGGGCCCTCACAAACATGCGTAAAGCGTATCACTAACATGCTTTCCAGCAATGGAACGAACGTTACGACTGGATGAAGACTCGCAACGACGAATACTACCTTCTCTGCATCACCAACTCATCCAATGCCATCGTCGGCACCGGTGCCCTCATCGTCGAGCGCAAGTTCATCCATCAACTCGGCCTTGTCGGACACATTGAGGATATTGCCGTGGCCAAGGACCAGCAGGGCAAGAAGCTCGGACTGAGAATTATCCAGGCGCTCGACTTTGTCGCGGAGAAGGTGGGCTGCTACAAGACTATTCTGGACTGTTCAGAAGCAAATGAAGGATTCTACGTCAAGTGTGGTTTCAAGAGAGCAGGACTCGAGATGGCGCATTACTACGGGCGCTAAGGGCTGAGCTGGGGTCAGTTGGGACGTGCATTATGAAGGCGTTTTCTAGGGCTTGAAGGGACTATTAGATCTATGAGAGATAGAGATTCGATAGACTCCAGCTACATACTAGAGCTTTCACGATTTAGTGGCTCAAATCTGTGTGCAAAATCCATTGAGTTACGTCATGGCTTATGCGTGCGACTGCTTCGACTGTTCCGTGGTTTTATCGACATTTGCACCCTAAGTACAAGCACAGATAGGAACCTAGACTGTACGGCCGTCATGACGCGTGTGAAGCTTCAGCTAAGAATGTATCAAGAAGCGCATTTGATTTGTGTTCCCCGTTGGTCTCTGTAGTGTTCATTACTCTTTCGGACTGTGGTGGACCGACTAGAACCCATTTTGCTCGGTTGCACTTCTCACACCAACACCATTGTCACCATCACTCATCTTGAAGGAATAAATACCAACCAAAATCTTCGAAGTCAGATACCTACTGGTGACAGAACCCTTTACATACTGTCTGGATTACCGCGACTCGATAAACGCTTGATTTGTGCGAATTTTGGAATCAAGTTTGTGGGCTAGTCACTCCAAACCAAGAGATAGATTAACCAGAATGGTTCAAGACGAACAAACAAGGAGTCACAGAAACGAATCATCCATTACCGAGGCTCAAGATAATCGTTCCGGGGTGGAAGAAGCGCAACCGGTAACGAAAGTCGAGAACCGAGAACTTACGAGTGACAAGTTCTCACCTTACGACGTATCCAGTGCACCCAAAGTTTCTAGTGGCCTTCCATCCGAGATATGGGCTATCGTACAGTCTGCGCCAGCGAATATTGCGCCTCAGTATTTCCTTGAGGTCAGTCGCGATTTGCTTGAGAATCCGAACCGGACTTCAACGCATTTGGCACGCGCAGAGCTCTCGTATCAAAGTTTCACAGACGCTACGTTCAACCCCAAAGCCAGTACTTCAGAGGATCTCGCAAGCATTGTCAAGCACCTGCGACCAGAATGCCGACCGCAACTGATCGATGGAGGCATAGAAGGGTACGAGCTAGAGTACACAGTTGTGCGGAAACTCATACCCCGGAATCCGAAGTTGGATGACTCGCTGATGCAAACCTGTCACATGTTTGTGTCGCATCAGGACGTGAACATCATCGGTCCGGATGGAGCTGAGGACATCGTAAAAGCAGAGCGGTACATGATGATATATATCCCTCACGCTGCCACATCGGAAGCTATCCCCTATTACCATCCTAAAGTTCGTTCTTTAGCAATGCTATATACCCACTTCCCAACTTCCTCTCACTCACCGCCTACATCCCTGATTAATGCATCTGGGCATCTGTCTATTCATTACTCTTTCTTCCCGGACCTTCCGATCGACAATCGTCTCTCCCGCACGGCTCTTAAGCTTCTGGAGGTCATACACAAACACTCACGCGGCCGGCAGGCTGGGTACACGAAACGCGTTCATCACGACCAAATAATTGGACAGAAAAGATTCCAAGATACATATGCGTACCTAAAGGGCAAATATGCGAAAGATTTGATCGAGGGATGGGTGGAGCAGACACCCGCCGAAAAACATGTCTTTGAGGATCTAGGCATTGCAGCGTTTCTGATGGAGCTTTGGGGAGACATGTACAGCTCCAAGAATGGTACACACAAGCAAGATGACGGAGATGAGCAGGTGGAGCAGAAAAGGCAAATAGCACAGGCCAACTTCCCGGGCTTCGTAGATATCGGATGTGGAAACGGTCTTCTCGTCCACATTCTCAACGCGGAAGGCTGGCATGGTTGGGGCTTTGACGCCCGTCGCAGAAAGACATGGGATACATTCCCATCAGAACACGCCCAAAAGCTGCAAGAGATGCTTCTAGTACCGGAGATTGTTCAGCCATATTCTTCAACCTCGACTGATTCCCCAACACCACACCACAACGGTGTCTTCCCATCCGGCATCTTCATCATCAGCAATCACGCCGATGAATTGACACCTTGGACGCCGTTGCTAGCCCGACTAAACTCTTCGCCTTTCATCGCCATACCTTGTTGTTCGCACGACTTTGGTGGCACGAGATTTCGCTCGCCGGCGCACGCCAGATATATCATCGCTGATCCAGCCACAGCAGCGTCGAAGAAGCCCAAGCAGCCTTCTGCATACGCTAGTCTATGTAGCTGGGTGTGTCATCTGACCGAGGAGACGGGGCATCTTGTCGAAAAAGAACACTTGAGGATTCCGAGTACGAGGAATATGGCTGTACTGGGGAGGAAGTCGCTCAGGGGAGATGAATATGGGAATAGCCACGAAAACATGGAGGAGAAACTGGCGTCCTTGCAGAGTTTGGTAGAACGAGAAATGGGCGGGCAGACTATCGGGTACATTTGCGCCATGTGGATGAAGAGTGGCGATGGGCTGATGAAGACTGCGAAAGGCGGGCATTGAGATACATGTGTCTATGTCGTTATACATCAGAAGCGGAATACTAAGAGCTCATGACCCCCCAGACTACTAGCAGTGATACGAACATGGGTCCGCCCAATGCAAGGTACCATATGAAGACGCATACATAGGAAACACGTCAGAGGAAGGGTTCACTGAAGGTGTTATGGGGTATCATTGAGGACATGGTCGTCCAAGACTGCGTCATCGCAACTTAGACAAGCGATCCATTCGTAGTATCATCCGGTCATTTCGCCGTTTCCGATCCCATTTTGTAATGCAGTAAAGCCCGACATGAAGATGAAACCGTATCTAGCCTTACTCCAGAAAGTCCTCAACTGCTTACGAAGCAGGAGCAGCACCACGTCCACGGCCAAAGCCACCACGGAACTCGGGCTTGAACTCGCCAGGGGCACCGCCCTCAGCCTTCTCGCCGGCGTCACGGCGGCGGTAGCCGTCGCGGTCACCACCACGGTCACCGCCACGTCCACCACGGCCTCCACCACGGCGCTCACGGTCATCACCGCCGAGCATACCCCGGGGAGGAGCAGAGCGCTGCTGCTTGATGTGGGTCTGGGGAACGATCTCGGCAGGGAGGTGGAGCCATTCGCGGAGGTAGTCGAGACCCTCAGGGGTGAGGGTGTAGTAGTACCATTGCCACGAGAAGCGGGTCTTGAGGTAACCGCGCGAGGTCAAAGACTGGCCTGTTGGTTGTTAGAACCTGACGGAGTTGCGGAGCAGTTGGTGGTACTGACAAGCCTTGACAACGTAAAGGTTCTTAGTGTCGATCTCGCCGTGCTTGGGAAGGTTGAAGTCCTTCTTAGCAACCAGAACTCCCTCTGTGGTGACCGTGTGTCAGCCTGTCCTTATATGCAGCAGAGCCGCGAAAATGTATAATTGTGCCATAGCCATGGCTCGCGAGTACGTGGGGATACTAACCTCGGAAGAGGTACCTGGAGAGACAAATGTTAGCCAATCTGTTGACGAGTATAGTGTAGAGTCAAATGTAGCTCAGCTCATATCAAGTCGTATCATTTCGTGCGAAACTCCGAGCTCGACTGCGCCGTGACAATGACGATTGTAGGGGTAGACTAACTCGTGGATCTTCTTGCGGTCGGCCTTGGGGATGAGCATCTTGACGGGTTGCGAAAGACTCGGGAATGCTAGGAGTGGTTGAAGGTCGATGAGTTCAGAAGTTCGCTGGGTGATAGACGATTTCGAGCAAAGGTGCGAGGCTAGTCTAAGCGAGCGCTATGACCATCTGTTGTGGTTCCGCCAAGGCCGGCTTGCTCCTCCCCAATCTTCAACTGCCGCCGCCGCCCTGCCTAACCAAACAACTTTCACCCTTCCCACGCGCAACTCAACTCGCAATTCACAGCATCAAAATCTGTATTCGCACTCCGTACCGTAACCTGCAACCATGGACGCCACCATGCAGTCTCCGATTACCATCATCGTCAACAGCATCCGCGGGCAAAACATCGCCTTCGCAACGCAAAAAGACGCGCCTCTTACTTCCATCTACGACACGCTCTATGAACGTGCGCCATGGATCCAAAATTCGTCCTACATCCTGACCACCAACTCGCGCCGCTCTGTTCGCCACGACGCTGCACCAGTGTCATCACTCCTCTCCTCGCCCGCAGATACCTTTCTATCGCTTCGTCTGACGGTACCGTTATGTGGTGGCAAGGGTGGTTTCGGGTCAATTTTGCGCGCCCAAGGTGGTCGCATGTCCTCGCGCAAGAAGAAGCAGGGCGACGTGAATGGATCATCCCGCAACTTGGACGGGCGACGCCTGCGCACAGTCACTGAAGCCAAGGTACTCGCCGAATACCTAGCGATCAAGCCGGAGATGGAGCAGCGTGAAAAGGAGGAGCGCCGGAAGAAGTGGGAGGACATTGTGGCCAGTACCGAGCGGAAGCAGGAAGAGCTACAGGACAGCAGAGGCACAGCACGTCTTGATGGCAAGTGGGTTGAGGACAAAGAGGAAGCAGAGAACAAAACGAGGGAAGCTATTGAGAAGATGCTTATGGCGCAAAGAGACAGTTCAGAAGAGGAGGACGACGCTCAACCGACCGCTTCTTCATCAAAGCCTGTTCAACAGCGAGCCATGTTTGGCTGGGACGACGAAGATGAAGAATTCATGAGTGACAGCGAAGAAGAGGACGACGTCTCCGAGGAGGACGTGAAGCCAGTAATTGAAGGGAAAGGAAAAGCAAAGGCCGTCTAAGGCTTGTCGTAAAGCCATTAGTTTTGGAGCAAGGAGTTTGTTTTGAGCAGCATGCAAAGGCGCCATGATCATTTTACCCAGTTCGTCGATAGATACCCAATACCAGTGAAAACGCTCTTAGTACATGGAGCATGGTCTTTTGGCCATTGTAACCCTGCATCGTCTCCATCTTGAACAACTAACATACTAGCAAACAAAATTGCCGCTGGTAAAATCCAGACTACTATAACCATTTTATCCTTGCATACTCCGACACACCTCAGCCGACGGATAACCCGCATATCAGGAAGCGGAATAGTCCCGCGCTACTGTTATCGGACATCCGACCCACTCCTTCCCTACGACTGGGCGCCTGCCATGTCATGCCATCCTTTGAGATGCCGACTTCCATAACCCGTGCCGCGATGGTTTCCGTCTCTTCTCTTTCTCACTTGATTTCACGAAATGGCTCTGTCAGCTAACAAGTTCACTGTTGCGCTCCGCATTGCGAGTAGGCGCTACCCCGCATTGATAGCTGTACCGACTTCAAGAGCAAGGATAGGATGCAAGCATGTCAGATGCTTCTCCCATTCGCCACAATGGCAGATCAGAACCAAGGAGCTGAACGATGATTTGATGAAGGATCTGAAAGTCAATCAGGCGAGGTTGATGGAAGACATACACCATACATGTCAATGGGGTATAGGCGAGCCTTGGGGCGAGTATGTAGTCTTAGCACTCGATAATCATGCAGCTGACGATAACAGGAAGTCAACGGAGACGGGCATGAGTCGACTGGCGCTCTCTGATGCGGACAAAGCCGCACGTGACTGGTTCGCAGAGACCACAAAGTCGCTCGGCTGTGAAGTCACTGTTGATGCCATGGGAAATCAGTTCGCTGTTCGTCCTGGACTAAGAAATGACAAGCCGCCTACATTTGTTGGGAGTCACTTAGACACACAGCCTACTGGTGGGCGATACGATGGAATTCTGGGAGTCACTGCTGGTGTGGAAATGCTCAGAGTGCTCTCCGACAATTGGACAGAGACTGAATACCCTGTCGGAGTTGTCAACTGGACCAATGAGGAGGGCGCTCGGTTTCCAATGTCGATGGTCTCTAGCGGAGTTTGGGCAGGGTCAGTCCCTCTTGAAACGGCACATAATCTCAGTGAAGTTCACCCTGGAGCTGCAACCATGAAGTCTGAACTTGAGCGAATTGGGTACCTAGGAAGTACGCCAGCGAGCTACAAGTCCATGCCCATGGCGGCGCACTTTGAGTTGCATATCGAGCAGGGTCCCTTGTTGGAGATGGCAAACAAAAAGATCGGAGTTGTCACTGGAGTTCAAGCTTACAAATGGATGACAGTCAAGGTCAAGGGACGAGACTCGCACACTGGAACCACGGATCTCAAGTCACGGGCTGATGCTCTACTAACAGCAAGCAAAATGATATTACATTCCCATCGCCTCGCAACCGCCAACTCTGCGTTAGCATCCACCGGTATACTCAACCTTAAACCTGGCTCGACAAATACAGTACCTGGAGATGTGTCATTCAGTCTCGACATCAGGTCACCAAACGACGAGACGGTTGCAAAGATGAAAGAGCTAGTTTTGCGCGACTTCCCCAAGATAGCTGCAGGTGAAGACGTTGAGGGCTCGAACCACGGCTGCACAGGCGGTCTTCCACTTACTGTTGAGATAATCGAGGATTTTGATAGCCCAGCAACAAAGTTTCACGCAGATTGTATCACCTCTGTCAGCCAATCTGCGCGTAGCATCCTCGGCCCCAATCAGTCTATGGAGATGACGTCTGGCGCTGGACACGATAGCGTCTACGCAAGTAAACGCTGCCCAACGAGCATGATCTTTGTGCCATGCAGGGAAGGTGTGAGCCACAACCCAAGGGAATTTTGTAAAGAGGAAGACTGTGCGTTAGGCGCGCAAGTTTTGCTGCAGAGTGTGATCAGGTTTGACAGGATGAGAGACGAGAGAAGGGTTTCATGGAAGCAGGAGCCATACACTTTATAAGAATAGTCAAAGCGGAAACGCGCGTAGACACATTCAACTTATATTCGATACTTTCAGAGCCTGTTTATCTTAACATCTGAGACTAATAGTGCCTTCCTGTTAAACTATCGTTCGATAGGAGTATGTGATGGTTAAAAGGAACGACTTACGAAAATGGAAGAGGCTGGGACGAGTTAGCGTCGTATGTGACGTAGCACCATTACACGATGCCTCATTCCCTCGCACGGTGCCTTACCACATGCGATGACGGTCATAGTACACGGTTCTCTCACAGGCGAAAGGCCATTGGTAGTATCATTTCATCTACATTCCTTGATTCTTGATCCACGCATGCTACTTTCCGACTGCACTGTGCCAGATGGGTGTGCTTCAGAGCGCGTTACAGCCCGCAGTGCAGCTCAGCCACGCTTGTTCCTGATGGGCGCGTTCAGCCCGTCGGCCTCAACCCCAACGTCTGCCTTTCCAATGATCCACTCGCGTCATTATCTATCTAATATCGCTCTCCAGTATCAGTGCCAGCCTTGTGTCATACGGCGTTTCAGGGACGGACTGCACGCTCCTCACGCTCAATCTGAATATCCATGAATCCCACTCGCAGGTCAAGTTTCATTACCAATTTCGCGTTACTCATATTACTCTAGTCTGTTGGGCAGATATATGTTGCGACAAGTTTTTCAGATCGCGCCGTACCATCGCTTTCACCTCCGACAAGCTTACAGGATATACCCCACGCTTGACCCTATGTCCCACAGGCCGCCGGCACATACGATACCCAAAGATACGAGGTAGGGTTATTGGTGGCGCTCGGCCAGACCGATGTGTCACAATCATGTAGACTTGTGCAGGAAGGCTGAGGCTTTGCCTTCTCAGCTTGGGGAACAAGGGTAGCCGAGGACAGGTACAGCACCCGTGGATCATCGACGCATCTCTCGCTGGCATATACAACACCATAGGAATTTGTACCATATTATTTATACATAGATCGCGATGCAACTGTGTCTCTATCTTTGCACCCTACGGATTGCATCACTGGTCGTTGCGAAATATATTCCCGATCTGCAGGTACAGAGCACAAGAGTGCAGGCAACAATATCAGCGAGTGTTATTACACCAGCACCTCTAGTACACGGCGATGTCTTCAAAAGGTCTATCGCGACATGCGGCTTCGTTCGCGGCAACTCAGGTACATCGTGCTTCACCTTCTGGAAGTAGTTCACATCTGATCCGAAATAGCACTACCTATCACATGTGCAGAGGACTATGCCTGCATCACTACACAGAACTTACAACTCGGCTTTGCATGCTGCAACAATGTCGAGTGTCTCGATGATTGGGCTACATGCCGGCCGTATGGTCAGACCGACTGTATGGGTGTAGCCCTACCAGAGGATACCTGCTCTTCCATATACGGCTCGATCCTTCAATGGTATGTCTCCCAAATCTTTCGCGAAACGACGATTGCTGATCGCAGAATACAGCTCACAGCAAGCACAGCAGTGCTTCCGTTATGCTCGCAGCTCTGTACTCGGAGCAAAGGAAACATTCTATTCGTGGGCATGCGGAACAGCTTCAGATGACATCCTCGTGCTTGCGACTGTTACAGATGGAACTTTTCAAACACTAGACTCTGACACCACGGGAGTTGATGACCTTTTTCATTCAATCACTAGCGGTTCCGGGGCAACTGCTGCACCCAACGGCCCTTCGGTCGCTGTCGCCAACAGTAGTCCACTTAGTACGACAGCGATTGCTCTCATATCAGTGGCCGCTGCCGTTTTTCTCATCATTGCTCTGCTGATCGGATACTGCTGTTGCTGGAAAAGGTTTATCAAGCAGCACCAGCGGGACAAAGAAATCGTTCAACAAACCAGGCCTCAACAGATGCCATACCAGCCAACTGTTACAAGTGGCCCCCGTTCTGAGTACATACCCTCTTGGAGTAGCAGAACACCTCTCGGAGCGAATCCGGACGCGCCGCCATCTGTTGCTGCTAGTGATTATTCTGGTGTCACTGCAAGTGACATGGCGAGGCCAATGGCGACACTGCACGAACAGCACAGCGGCTATGGGTACAGGTCTTATTGATGTATAGCCGTGGAATAAGCTCTGACAGCATGCTCGACATTTTATGATTCTAGCACGATAGAATTGAATGCTGAATCAGCGTTGATAGATGGATGGCGACCTACTTTGTATCCTATTTTACTCTGCCCAACTTCGACGCTTATAGACACGTTGAATAAGATTGGAAAAGACGATAGTGAAGAGTGTATACACTTCCTTCAGAGTGCTGCTTCCCATATCTTTCTGGTAGCCTCCAGTTTGCGTACTTTGTCGCTCCTGAACATCAGCTTCCAGTTACTGCTTTTAAACACTTTCAGAAGATCGCAATCCTCTCCACCGATTCCTCCTCGCGATAGCCCAACTTCATTTACAAAGTTCCAATCACGACCACAGCGAGCGTCACATTGGCATGGAACCCACTTCGCAAACCGCTTGAGCATTTCGCGTCGATTAGGGTCTATAGTTGTCATCTTGGCTACGTCAAGACTCGACTCGATGTGGAGCATGTATAATGCTGCCATCACGAACGGCTTACGATGGATACTGTTGCGCACGTCTTGCTTGTCACGGAGAAGACGCGTCCATGTCTCGAAGACGTGGTTGGGCGATGGTTTCTGATCAGAATCAAATTGTTCGAAGAATGCGTTGACTTGAGAGCTGTTAGATCTTGCAGGGATCTGCTGCAAGGTTGATGATACATACAAGTGACTTTTCTATCTTTGGGCCCGCACCTGTCGTATATATTTTCGTATACGTAGTATGAGTCGAGCGTTAGATGCTGCCAGTACGACGGCGCATACTCTTTGATGTACTTAGGTCCCTTGTGCAACGAATAGAAGAGTTTGGTTGTTGGAGACTTGACGTGAGCTGGATGTATCGCTGGTGAGCTAACTTGTTCTATCACATCCCAGTAGTCAGCATTTATCTATATACTATGTAACGCAGCCCATGTAAGAGACCGTTAGGTGAAATCTATCATTTCAATTGATTCAGCGAGGGTCGACGCACTTTTCTCAAATCCGGCCACAGCCACCCAGCGCTCTACCATCTCCAAGGTATGTGCGTCATTGCCATACGTATCAGTTCGCGATGCAATAATACCTTTCTTGCTCGACTCGTCAATCGCCACTTCAGAAAGGTCGGGAGGATTAAACCTGAAGTATCCACCCCGGTTGGCCAGTTTTCTGTGGGTCAGGTGGAACGTATTCGCTGTGTCCTGGGTTTCAGTCGCAATAGAAGCAATGCTCTTTGCAACTTCGGTAACCTTCTCACCGAATCCATGCAATGCTGGCCTGCCGGTACCAATAGACACTAATACCCGAATCTGCTTGTCAAACTCTTCTTCAGATTTGTCGAATTGCGACATTGCTTCCAGATACAATTCATTGATAGGATTGTTGGATCCGATACCTGCGTCAAGAAAGCGCCTGGGCTCACCGGCATGTGTGATTTCCATCGGTGCGAAGAAAGATGTTGCCGCCGATGTAGCACGAGCTACTTCCCAGATCTTGACTTCATTATAGAAGTTAGAGTGCTCGCCAGGTCTCTCGTAATCTGTAAAGCGTGTCGGAGCTCTGCCTTCTGCCGTCAAAGCAATAACGACCCTTGTCGAGTTAGTGCCCAGTCCTCAAATGCGAGGGATCGATAGCATACGTTTTACAACTCGAGTCCTTCGATCCTCTGAATCTGTCATCCGATGTCCACCCAGCGTTGGACATCTACAGATGTGGAGATGCGAAGTCAGTGTATGTCTCACATGCATTTCGTACAGTCATAACTTACCACCTGCTTGATCGCCTGCTCCATGTACTTTGTCTTGTACTGAGGCTGAACCTTGCCATTACGAATCTTGAATGGCAGCTTTTTCTTGTCTTTGGGGTCAAATATAACGTCCATCATACCGGTATATGCCTCAATACACTGGTCAACGGACATTTCCAGTCGGCCGAGCATGATAGCAATCAAACCCCCAGTGCTCGTCCCACAGATCATGTCGAAATAGTCGCAAGGCTTCGGACTGCCAACCAAGGACAATATCTTCCGCAACATATAAAGTGAAGCCAAACCGCGTACGCCTCCTCCATCGAGGCTGAGGAGTCGAAGATCTCCTGCCATAGGCACCGGTCGCTCAGGGAAATTTCGTGAGATTAGGAGCGTGCAGATTGCGTGTGTTAGAAGTGGAATCTGAAAGTGTCAAAAGACGAAGGCAAGGCTCAACCCGCATGTGTTAGTGACCTGGCGTGGACTTTCGCGATACGTTGCTGAAATGTACAAATTGCAATTCAGCACGGTTAGCAGCCTTCTGCCTGTTCTGCCAATGTGCAGTTTAGCTCGAGACTGGTCTTTGAACACGGCGTTAGCCCTATACCCCCACGATGCGACGGCTTGCAGATATCAGGCTACTATACGCTCGTGATACCTTGCATCTTTGCCCGAGCGTACGACCTGGAGTGATTAACCACGCACTCATTTCGTACAAGGTTAAGCGGCAAATGCAAGAGACCCAACGCAAAGGACGATACGGTGGCTTTGCTTGGCAGCTGAACAATTAGAAATTGAATGGCCTAATATGGCAGCCTTGGGCACAGGCATCTAGAGATGTGTGTAAGTGGTCGAAAGCGCGAAACGGATCGAGACGCTATTCCAGGGTATTGTCTGGTTTCGAGGCGGTTGACCCCTCATTAAGCTTTTCCAACAGCCTCGCTCGTACCTTATCTCCCAACTCCCCCACGGATTCAACCAAGTCGACACCATATCTCTCGCAGACAATCTGTATGTTACCTCTCTTCCAGAAGCCCTCTGGACAGCAAACAATAGCCTTGCCTGTTCCCGCATAAAGCCCCAATTCTAGCAGCGTGATGGGCTGTAAGGCCTTAGCGTCACCTGCGAAATAGAAAACAATGACATCGGCTACGCGCGCGTAGTCCATTTCCCATTCAACTTGCTCTTTGAAGGGCGCGAAAGAGATGTCTTCAACCCAACTACTATCCCAATCATCTCGGCGTGGATTCAGGATAGCGATGGGGAGGTCAGAGAGTGAGGCTGCAAGATGGGTCTGCCAGTCTTTACTGGGATCGGGCTGTATGGCTCCGTAGAGGATCACAGATGGCCTGTCAACGGATGGTCGCATGGGAGGTTTATGAACGACAGCTTTGGATAGGCAAGATTGAGACATGCTTGATGGAAAGGAGATGATCGTGAGGAGGCGGGTGCGCACGTTGGCGCCCCACTACAAGCCCCGACTGTCCGGGTGAGCTACGATACTATGATTATATAAGCCACCGGACGATCTAACTCTAAACACAAAGCAGCTAGTCACAGGTACCAGCCCTACCACATTCAACATCTGTCTGCTCTGTGGTTGAACTCGATCCTTAACTGCATTTCGAAATATTCCTAGAAGTCTCATACACTGTCATAAGCAAGCGATCATAACGAGAACCGAATTTCCAGCATAGAGCTGTCCCGAAGCCTACAGATTTGTAGGATTGTGTTGCCCCCCTGCCCAGACCTGACGTGTGTACGGATTCGCGGGGTCGCCTCCTGCGCCGCCGTCATAAGTAACCTGGACGGTCCGCTCATACAAGATAGCTTCCTCGCTATCATTGTCTCCCTTCATCTCGACGTTTCCGATCGGTACCTTGCGTTCTCGGTCGCGAAAGCCTGCTTTGTTCGGGACGCTGGCGAGGGGAATCTCGTCATCGCCGTCCCCTTGCGTTGTGCCGTCTACTGTACGCATCAAAGTATCGTACTTGCGCTTCGGGCCTGTGTTTTCACTTCCCCAAGTCCGCAATCCGTGATTGCGATCAGACGAGTCTTTGTTTTCAGATGAGCGACTTTCGCCAATAAGTCGCGGTGCGACGTGCTTGAGGAAGCGCCGCAGGGTCGGTAAGCAACAGCATATGACGAACAAGTTACTTTCGATGATGCTGTGTTTTGATCAGTTGAAACAATTCTAGGTATCTGGAGACACCACGATAACGGAAGCCTTACATCCACAAAGAGCCTACGGCTATGATCCAGGTTTGGTCCATATCTGTTAGAGCTGGGATCAAAACAATGAGGCGAATAATAGACGTGACCATTGTGCTGCCTCAAGTCAGCAGCCATTCAGAGCACGACTTGCACCCCGGTTAACACTTACATTGATCCGACGCCGAACATAAGAGTTAGTCCAATTTTCTGTTTCGTCGGCATTTGCAGGCCCCAGATAGTCGGAACGGGAATCGAGATCAGCATCACATCCGTTACGATCCCAATCACAGCCGTAGCGATATAAATCGCTCCTTGGTTGACGCATGCCGCAGTTGGGCGCAACAATGGGTCCCAACTGGCAGCAATGGGCTTGCATGCGAATAGCAGACTGAAGAAGATCGCGATGTATGAACTGGCGCAGATAACGACGGTTGTCCAAACAGCCCATTGGAAGGCTACGGATGGAGAGAGGCGACTGTAAAAGATACAGAGCGTGATCTTCGTCAAGGCGCAGCAAGCTGCATAAACCAGTGGGGCGGCGAGAATGAGCTACGAAGTCGTTGCATTAGCATACGAACAAAAAACGCAAGTAATTAAAAAAAAGGATATCAGCTTACCCGTGAATAGAAGGCGTACTTCTCAATTGGAATCTCCCAGGCGTGTACGCCCATGCTGCCAGTGGAGAAACCAGTGATCAAAATACCCTGGGTTCCCACCGAGCAGGCCCAACCGAGAATAACGAAGGCTAACTTTTGTCAGTAGATTTTCTAGGCTGATGTTACCAAACACAGTACCGTCGTCAATCTGGAACTGCTTCATGAGACGAACTTTGGTATAAAGCCGCTGCCCAAGGAACATAAGCGCTAGGATGTTCTCGACTGTGAAGATGACATAGGCCTCTGTGAGCAGCCTTCTCTGCGGGTTCGCAAAGTTGACCTCATAGCCATCAGGTGGAGGAATGGCGGTTATAACGCCGTTGACATTCGACATGACGCAGTAAAGTCTGGACAAAGAATGTGTTGTTGATTTAACCACAACGTCGCTCGGGAGCGGAAGCTAAAGGTCTCTCCTACGAGGGAGAGCTTGTATACCTAGGACCTTTGAAACCTACTCCTATGACTAAAGGAGGGACGTGGTTCAGTCTAAAGACTGCCTAGAGGCTCGAGAGCGAGGTTTGCGCTAGGTTCCCAAACCAGGGGCGGGAGAGGGAAGTGGGCGTGGGGGATGTCGACGTCGATCGCACATAATTGCTTGCCTGGATACGAAGGCCCTGTCTCGGAAAAGTTGACTTCGTCGCGCAAATCCTGACTTCGTCACGGGCTTGGAATTACACTAAATACAACACTAAGCGGCGATTCGGAGTTTTTACTTACACAGGTATGTTCACGATAAGTCAGGTACTTTCATGTGATTACCACGATCAAATCTTTCTACTCATCCAATCAATGACCTACTGACTTCAAACCAATCGAGACTGTATAGCAGGCCAAAACAACGCACACTACGAAAGGATTCTCTGTTCACTTGGCTCATTTCCCCATGTAGTCGGAAGATATCACCACCGGCTTAGGCGTTCGATATGCGAGCAGCTCCCCTCTTGATCAACGTTCCTGGGGAAAGGTGATTGGCTGCGATGCGAGCAAAAAGTCGATGCTGACGCGTGCGATGAGTCGTGATCTGAGGAACCAAAACCTCGGCGGGTAAGGCCGACGGCACTAACTGTTCCCGTAACTGTGGGCTTAGTTTTCGGGCCGCTCGCGGCGCCGGCCAGGGGCCTGATAGGTTCTATTTGACCGCCTCGTTCTTGAGCATTATATTTGCCTATCATATCGATGAAAATATATGGGTCGACGTCTCGTACTTCAGGGACCAGGAACAGCACATACCTCCAATAGGTTGTTGCAGACGGCACGTGTTGGGACGGCAGACGGATATTTACCGTTTTGCTATACCAGTTAAGATCAGCATAAGAGCCGCATAAGAATGTCACTGATCAGGTTTAAATGCCAAGTTAGAGCAGTTTCTTGTGCGGGTACTGTTAGCCGCTGATTGTCTGGTCAATCTGCAGCTATGGCGACAATAAAATCCCTTAGACCCAGCGCATCGGTTCGACATCCACGTTTTCGAGTGTGCCAAGTTCTCAAGTTGAAACAGCATGAAGCTCCTCGCACCGACCGTCGTTGCATCTCTGGGTTTATGCGCCGAAGCTACCCAATTCGGCACCATCAGGGACGTGGTTCTTGGCAGCAAGAACGAGACTTGCGTACGTTATGTACTCCCTGGTCAAAGTTCATGCAATACTGACCAATTTTAGTGTTCTTCGCTGAAGGATGCTGGACTAGCAAACATCTTTTACGAGGATGATGAGCAGTACAAGAATCGGACGGCGTCGTACTGGTCCGTGAGCGCTCAGCTGCATCCCAAGTGTATTGTTCAACCAGTATCTACTGAAGAAGTATCTACTGCCATCAAAACACTGGGTGCGCAAAGCAACTGCAAATTTGCCGTGCGAAGTGGTGGTCATGCAACCTGGGCTGGCTCCAACAACATCAACGATGGAGTAACACTCGACCTCGGTCTCATGAACACAACCGTCTATGATGCGGAAGCAAACCTCGCACGGTTCCAACCCGGAACCCGATGGGGTGGTGTGTACGGAGCACTTGAGCCTCATGGGGTCACTGTCGCGGGTGGCCGAGCAAGCAGCGTCGGTGTAGCCGGTTTCTTGACAGGAGGAGGAAACTCTTTCTACACTGCTCGTCGAGGTTTCGCCTGTGACCAAGTGCAGAATTACGAGGTCGTTCTTGCCGATGGGTAAGTATCCAAAAAGCTGGGCGGCGAAGATTTGAGATCTGTTACTAACATGCAGTAGCGAAATCGTCAACGCAAACGCCACATGTAACAGTGACCTGTTCCGAGCCCTCAAAGGTGGTTCGTTCAACTTTGGCGTCGTTACTCGTTATGATATGGAGACTTTCACCGCGGGAGATCTTTGGGGTGGCTCGAGAATCCATACCAAAAACTATACACAGCAACACATCGATGCCTACACAGCATGGGTCGACAACGTCGAGAACTACCCCGACGGCTCCAGTATCGTCTTTTGGAGCTATCTTCCCACCATGGAGGATATTGTCATCATCGCTGCGTACGAAGACGTCGCGGGCAATGTTGCTCCTGCAGGCTTCGACAAATTTATGGCTATCCCAGCCATAGCCGACACCACGAGATTGGCGAGCCACAAGAACCTCACTGATGAGCTTGAGCAACCCACTGGATACCGGTATGTTCCATCTGCAATTGGAGAGAGGGGGTGACTACGATATATGAAACTGACAACTATTAGTGACATCTGGTTCACGATGACCTTCAAAAACGACCCTACCGTGTTTAAATACATTGTTGATGCACACACCAAGTTTGTCGATGCATGGAAGGCGGATAACACAGACCACGACTTTATCACCCAATGCATGTTCCAAGCTATTCCAACCATTTTTGCCAAGCACAGTGCGGAACGTGGGGGCAACGTCTTGGGTCTGGATCTCGTCAAGGACAACGCCATCATGCTCCTTTTCGATATTGCTGTCAAGGGTGAAGAGACCGAGGTTCGCGCGAGGGAAGCACTTAGGGCTGCTACCGAAGATATGCAAAGGTTCGCTGCCAGCCAAGACGCTCTAGTAGACTGGCAGTACCTGAACTACGCCGATGCTTACCAGGACCCACTTGGTAGCTACGGCGCTGCAAATGTTGCTAAGATCCTGGCTGCTGCTAAGAAGTATGACCCCAATGGCATGTTCCAGACTCAAGCTCCTGGTGGCTTCAAGATCTCCAGAGTTAAGAACTCCACTTCTTCCAAGCAGGAACTATAAGCCTTAGATCTGAGCGCTCGTTGGTAGCAGTGGAAGCGATGGACCATTTACAGCAATGAAATAAGAAATGAAATCTTCAACGCACTCTTTGTCCATCCTATTGTAAAGATGATGCATTTATCCTACTCCGCTTCGATTGCATAGTGACCATTACGCTCTTCGTTGTGCACATTCACCATATGAATAGCCACACCTTAGACCTCTGCTACCCTGCTCTGCTGTTTTATTACAATCTCGTCTCTTAGCGCCTTTGCTCTCTCAAAACATTCCAATGCCCTCTCCTCTTCCCTTGCCACAAGAATCTTTCTCGCAATAGCTGGCACACAATATCTCACTAATATCTTCGCAGTGGCCCTCTTCTTCTCATCTTTCTCAAACATCCACTGATACCAACGATCGAGCCGTTTGCTATAAGGTTTATGCTCCCATGGGCGGTTCGGATAGAATTCTTCAATAACTATAGAATCATGGACGTCGAAGTCATTAATCAGTTCCTCTTTTGTGGCTGAGAGGGGCCGGAAGGTGGTCGGTATGAGATGACGCCAGTGGCTTTTTTTCCAGGCATTTTTGTCGATGAGATGAGGGACAAACTTCTCCTGACTTCTTCTGCTATCGGAGAAAGCTTCGTGGGATTGAATGGGGTAGACACCCAGAGCGAGGATTTGCAAGGTGCCGCCTAGAGCCCAGATGTCGCCGGACGGTCGTAAAGCCCCTCGTTCGTTGAAGGGTGGTGCATATTCGGGTGTACTACAAAAGCGGGTCAACTGTGCGCTTTCGGTTGGATGCTCTCGCGTCATACGGGCAAAGTCGGTCAGCCTGAAGATAGGCTCATCGGGGATTCCGTCTTCCATCTTCCAGCTCTTGGGTATTTCAACTAGGATGTTGTCTGGCTTGATATCATTGTGCGTATAGCCGTAGTTCTCGCACTTGTTATGCAGATAATCCAAAGCGAGAACCATATCATGTAAACATTTCCATATCGTGACTTCGGATATACGTTGTATGGTTTTTCGCTGCCTTCTCTGTTCAGATTTCCACTTGACCACGTAACTGGTAAGATCACCCAACTCGCAGAACGGAAGGAAGATTGCCATAGGAGTAGAGGACCACGCCAACATCCCTGCAATGTGTTCGTGTTGTTGAACAATTGAAAGATTCTTAATTTCGACCTCGAGGCGTTTGGTTGCCTTGATCCTGTCAGACTCAGAAGTGAACGAATGTGGCGTCTTCACCGCGACGAGTGCTTTGGAAGATTTGTGTTCGTATGCGTGTACTATGCCATCCCCACCGTCTCCCAGATAGTATCTTTGGGTAAAAAGCTGACTGAACCTTCTGTAAACACGTAAATCGTTAGTATCAAACGGTTGTTCCATCCTCATCACGTCGCGATTGCTGAGACCTTGGAGGAAAGACTGGCTCGTATGCTTGAGTGAGTTGGGATTGAGGTTGGGCGGGTAGACTTTATGAGACTCAAGACATAGCACTGTGTGACAATACGGTTCGAATATACTACTAGAGATGAGCCACCACGGTTTTCGTGGTTGAAGTAGTCGTTACCATGGTACCTGCCAGTATTGGTTTGGTAGAGAGGACCAAAGCCTGACATTGGGCCAGTAAGAAGCCCAAGAGTCTTGTAAATGAGTATGTACTCACCGAAGGCTGTGGGAGCAGTCCCGTACGTCGTTGTTATGCTTGCGTTCACACTTAAATGTAGTCGACATAGACCAAAGCTGACCTCACCGATGAAACTTCCCCGTCCATACATATCCAGAGTATTCTGTGATGACTTTCAGCGCGACTTTACCCATTAAATGTGAGAAACTCAAGGCACACGATAAACGACTTGATGTGTGCAATACCTTCGAATGAACACGACGTGCTGATATTGGTAAGCAAAGCCGGATATCTCAAGACATACTAGCTGATTTGTGCAATTATGGCGATACCGTGCATTTGATACAGAACTTTCATTATACTCTTATTCTTCTTCTTTCCTTCTGGCCCGCTGTCTACGCACCATCTTTCTTCCTCTGCCCCACAAAAAACCCTAGTCCAAAATCATCCGTCTTGAACGTGATTTTGCTCCCTTTTGGGAAGAAGAACACATCACCCTTCTCGGCTTTGACTTCTTTGCCCGTTTCGTCACTGATGTAGAAGTGCCCATCAACGATGATTTTTATCTCATCATACGTATACGTGTACACGAGCGGCGTTCCCTTCTCCAGACGGTAGAAACCACCGCTGATGGGTTTCTCTGGATCTGTAGACTCTCTGGTAGAGAACAGTCAGTGGTGGTGGTGGGTTAATAGAATATAGGTAGGGCAAGCATACGATGATACGACGTCACCGAGGTAGGCGTTTTCGTTGGCGATTAGCGGCGGCTTGAACGTTGTTTGCGCCTTCTCGAAGTACTGCATCGCTGGCATGGTGGCGGCTGGTATAGCAGTACCCTGTGATATATGAAGCAAGGGTGTGGCTGTCCGTTGTTAGTGAAAAGTTACAAAGTCCAAGTTCGGTGAGCTTGACGCACAGTGGCACGAAGTAAGATATGCTGCTTTTGATCCTATAATTCGTATTGTGTTGTGTAAGATCCTGAAGATGACTGGAGCTATGCAGTGTCCTAAAGGTCGCCGTACGTGGAACTTACAAGAGCATGGCCAGCTTTATGTACGCCAATCTTACTTATCGTGACCCAATAATCAAGACTAACGGCATCATCATTTACCAACTGCGCCCTGTCAAACGGAGTTTCCCTTCTTCCGATATCCAGTTAACCGCTATATTAGCATAGAGCAGCGTAGTATCTGGGACTTTAATACTAGATGCGGCGCTTGGCTTGCACCAAAACCTAGCTGATCTGGCTAGGTTTTAGTTAAGCTTTGCCACGATATCCACTGCTTTACGTCTATTAGTGCGCCCTGCGAGGGATGAGCAAGACAGCTCCAAGGTGTTGGAAGTGTACGCGGATAGTGGGGTGATGTAGGTGGGGCAACAAGACGCAATGTGCGATTGGCTATTATCTTATCGTCAGGAAAGGATTACTCCATCTGGGATCCTGCATATGTGGGTTAAGGCTCAAACGAGGCTTCCGAGTATGACCGGGTTAGCTTTCGTAAAGTGGACGTTCTTCTTTCCTATGAGGGGTAGTCATATTGCGCAGTAATCATTGGTATTGCGTGTCTGAAATGCTGATAATACATTCTGGGTATATTCAAATTGCTGGAAGTTGTAATAATATCATATAGGTCGTTCTTCTTCATGGTCTTCATCTTCTCTCCACTTCTTGCGCCACCACTTCAGCTTGAACCAGTCTCCTAAAGCATCTTGGCTCTTGCTCCTCTGGCCGTATCCCCAAGTCTGTCTTCTCCGGGATGTATCTTCCATGTCTGCGTCAGATGTATCGCCGTCGTCTGGATCGGGATGATCAAGAAGTGATGCAGAGCTATTCATGGGCTGTTTTCCCTGCGACACACTTCTGCCTCGCCCGCTACCGAACCCTTCGAACCAAGACCGCCGACGCATCTGATTGAGCCATGCCGACTGTGCATTGTTTCTCCGTGGCGGTAGGGTTCCTGACCTTGGTCGTCGCTCTAGATCCACAGATCGTCTGGCAGGAGATGGCAGAGTCTCTCTGTCGTTGAGTTCATCCCAGATCTCGTTTGTCTCTTCTGAAATAGTCATCCGCCGTCTTCTTTGGGGTCTGCGGGAATGTGTTTGAGGACTCTTCGGTTCACCAGCGTCTACTGATGCTCGCTTCTTCGGGTTGGCGAGGGTAAGAGCGGGACCGGTTGGGGCGCGAGCTAACAGTGGTGTTCTTTCATCGACAGCTTTCCGTTTGGCTTGTTCGGAGGCATAGCCATGAGCGCCGGGGGCTTCTTCGTCGATATCCAGAGGTGATGCAGGGTCGTCAAGAGGGTGGCCATGCGCAAGACCGATGCCGGGTTGTAGCACTGTCTGGGGCATCTGAACTCTGCCCGTATGCTTGCTTGCGATTGGTGATGTGGGTTCTTCCTCGTTATCTTCGAGACGCCAGCTCAGGCAGACAACTCCAGCGAGCAGTATTATAGTTCCGAGCGCAATCAGGCCGGCGTGCAGACTCGACAAGCGATCGCTTTGGTCGAAGTAGATCAGGCCATCTATGATTGCGATGATGTTGTAGACGCAGAATACTAGAGGATAAAGCACACTCGTACTGACCAACTTCAGTCCGCGATGCATGTAGTAGAGTTGGGTCAGGGCGAAGACGACTAGTCCGACCAGAATCATCCACGACTGCCAACGGTCAAACTGGTTGTGACGGTCAATGATAGTCCGGACTAGAAGTTCGACAGCACTCTTCGCGATGAGGAGCGAATGCGCGGAGAGGATGCCACTGACGCAGCCAAAGAACATTCCACGGATAAGGCGTAATCGAGGGGTGGTCCGTGGATGCATGCGCTTCAGTAGCCACGTCGCAAGGACCAGCATGACGACTACCACACCCGTCAAGATCATCCATGTGAGGAAAGCTTTCCGTCCCAACAGCCTCAACAGTTGGTCGAGATTATGCGACGGTTCAGCAATGGCACCAAACAAGGCTATCAGCAGTGCGCCTATGGCAACAAGCATGGTGCCAACAAAGGAGTATCGCGTAAACGGTTCGCTGAGAATGATGGAGGCGCATATCGAGTTGAAGACGAGGCCGGATGCCTGTAGGGTGGAGAGAACGGGAAGGGGTAGGGTGGTGATTTGGATGGTGCTGCCGACGATGTTTGCCACGACGAACATGAGCATGCCCAGCTGCATAGATTAGTGAGTGAATCCCATGTCATCTGGCAGTGTTCGTACCTGCCATCTTCGCCGCTTGTATGGAGGTCGCCTGTCGTCGTCGTCGTCCTTTTCCTCTTCTAGGAGATGGGACTTGCGTTGCAGCGTCAAGCCGATGCTCTGAATGCTGGTGGAGGCGAGTCCGACCATTACCCCAAGCTGCATGCCCACGCGTTAGCACTCTATACCCATGGCGGCATGGCTCCATGTATACTGACAGCAACGCTCGCGCCCGGCGAGAGTTCCACCATGTTTCCTTGTCGGTTGTCGTCGCTGCACTGCGCCTATCGCTACCTAGACGTCGGGCGCATGCTGTGTGTGGGGTGTGTGTGTAAAGTCGGGAACGTGTATTCTTCTGTCTTGGACAGCGCAGGCGTGGGAGTCGCGAAACGTCACGCTGAGTCGGTGAAGTGCACGAGACGGTTGGGGAAGACTAGCCGACGCCGTGCATGTGGCAGGGATCAGCCGACTGATGATGTAGTTGGGTCGACGAGGACAGCGCGGGTGCAGCAACGAGAAGATGTCGCGTCGGTAGAGAGACGATATGGCAGAGACGTATAATTGCAGTGATACTCTTGAGACTGTTCCCGCGTCTATCTGCGACGTCGTGCCATGCATCGCTCGAGGGCGTACCTGGGTAACCGCGGGCAGCATCTGGGGCCCAAGCTTGAACATCAACCTCCAAGCTCCGTCACTCGCGATACCCTCGACGCCAGCACCCATATATCTCCTCCCCCGTAAACCAGAGGATCTCCACACAATACCGCCATCATGTCGCAAGTACACGCCCTATCCGACGACCAGGTACGAATCTCCGCCAGCTTCAGCCAGCTGCAAGCTCCCCACTCACTACGTCAACACCACAGCTAACACTGACCCCGATGGCAGGTCGCCGGCGAGCTGAAGAAGATGACGGCCTTTATTCGCCAAGAAGCCATGGAAAAGGCAAACGAAATCCGCCTCAAGGCCGACGAGGAGTTCGCCATCGAGAAGTCCAAGCTAGTGCGCCAGGAACAGGCCTCGATCGACTCGTCGTATGAGAAGAAGTTCAAACAGGCCAGCATGTCGCAGCAAATCACCCGCTCCACCGTCTCCAACAAGAGCCGATTACGCATTCTGTCTGCCCGCCAGGAGCTGCTCAACAAGCTGTTCGAGCAAGCCGAGAAGAAGCTGGGCGACGTTTCAAAGGACAAGAAGAAGTACCAGAGCATCATGAAGGACCTGATCGTCGAGGGTGCCTATGCGCTCAACGAGGACAAGCTGCAGGTCAAGGTGCGCAAGGCCGACTACGACCTCACTAAGAAGGCCATCGAGGAGGCGCAGACCGAGTACAAGAAGAACATTGGCAAGGACGTCTCCATCACCATCGATGAGAGCGACCCACTGCCTGAGGGATCGTAAGTTTGGTTGCCGCGGAATCTTCGACACATGGCTAACTCTAAACAGTGCTGGTGGCGCTATGATTGTTGGAACCAACGGCCGAATCGACATCAACAACACTTTCCAAGAACGATTGAAGCTACTCGAGTCCCAGGCCCTGCCATCCATCAGGGTCACACTTTTCGGAGAGAACGAGAACAGGAAGTTCCACGACTAAGAAGCTAGCGTGGGCGTCGGTTACTATGAGCTGGCTTGTGATCAGACTGGAGCATTTGGCCGTCACGGAGCACAAGCAGGAAGGAGTCTGCGTCGGACTGGGAGAATGGGCTTTTGCTGAGTAGACTGTACATGCACGAGGTCTTGTAGACTACTCGGAACTTTTAGCGAGCTTTATTACATGCACATTACCACATTGATCACTATCCCAGCAAGCAAGTTTCATTCCTGACATTATGGTGATATGAATTTCTCGCCTGGGCTAACTGCTGAGGCTCCTATGTATACTGCGAAGGAGGGTATACAAGAACAAAATCAAGAACATGCGTACAAAGACGCTGTGTATCGTCGCTTCAAGGAGTGGATATCATCAACACTCATACTCCTTAAAAACAAAACGCCAGTGCCAGATCATAGCATGCAAAAATGTGCATATGTACAACAAAGGAAATCGTTCGTTACCATGCATCATACACGTTCATAAACACGATCCCACATGGGACTTCTCGTCCTCTTCTGACCACCGCCGCCCATGACGTTTCTCAATGGCCATTCTGTCTTGCTGCTCTTTCTCATCGGCGGATTGGGGTCTGGGTACCGATCTAAAGTCCTGTGTCCGCCATACAGCTCGTCATCCTGGTCGTTGTACCCATCGTTCGAATACTCAGGGCCGTAATCCTCAAGATAGGAATATCCGCCTGCAAAGGGGTTCGAAGACGTTTTCTGGTGCGTAATGGGAGAAATGGGCGCGGAATCGTCTGAGTGGTATACGTGCCCAGAGTTGGAAGACATACTGGAGACGGCAAGACCGGAGGAACTGCTACCACTATGATCGGCGGTGTTTTGTGCCAGAGAGGGTCGGAGGAGGCCTCGGGATGCTTCCGCTGCAGGGCTACTGATCGGACTTGTGGGTACAGGCTTTCGCTTTATGCTCGCTACGGCGGGAACAGGTAGCGTGTCCAAGGCAGACATACCGGGTCTTCGAGGACCTGTCTTGGGGGGTGAGTTGTGACGCCCTAAGATAGGGGACTCTCCGTTCATTTCGTCGTCAGGTTCTGTAACTTCGGCCACAGAGTGAAGACTAGTGTAGCTTGTTCGTCGGCCACGGGCTCGGTTTGACGAGTGGCTATGGTAGAGCGCGGGCGCTAGAATGGGCGTGTGGTTGTCTTGCATCGTCATTGGTGTTGATTCTGCTGGCATAGAATACCCTTGGTTAGGGTGAGACACGCCTGCAGCCGGTGGTATCGTATGGCCCTGGTAGGCTGTAGACATAGGGGCCGGGTCATAGCCATCATCTTCCCAGTTCATGTCTTCCACAAACCGGCTTTTCTGTTGTGCTGCGGGGTTCAAGGGTCGCCTGTGTTCGAAATTCTCGACGCTTAGGCCTCGGTCCTGGAATGAGAAACGAGGAATGAAGCCGGGTGATGAGGGGGGTTGACTGCCTTCAATGGATCTTCTTCTCCTTCTGCGCAGGATAAAGCAGCATCCAAACAATATTGCGGCAATCGCAAGTACGGCTAGTGGCACACCTACACCCAGCCCGATTTTCTCGCGTCTTGTCAGGCCAGAATCGCTGGATGCGGGCGCTATAGGATCTGTGGTCGAGCTTGGAGTCGCAGAGGAACTCGATGGCGATGATGAAGTTGAAAAGATAGTTGAAGACGCAGAAGAAGATTCCGAGGATGACGCCAGACTGGATATATCGCTCGAGAGACTAGTCGAAGATGGCGTAGGCGTAGGTGTTGTACTCAAGCCTTCGGATCCTGATGTCGTAGAAGATTCCACCGCACTAGTGGACAGTGTTTCTAGTACTGACGAATCTATATTCGAGGCTGCCCCTGTTGGTACCTCCGTTGCGGATGCGGTAACATCAGTGGGCAATGCTTCACTCGCAGGTGGCGCTGCCGTCGCTGGTCCGAATTCTTGTATGAAGTAAGACTGTATATCATATGGAAGCTCGTTGAACCAGTCTGGCCGGTTGTCGTCCAAGAATTCCTCCCATAATATGCTCGAAACTGCGGGTATGTTCGTCGCAGCGATTTGCCGTAGCGAAAGTGGTAGTGCAGTAATAAGCACTTGTAATATTTCGATGCTGATCTGATGTTAGCGCGGTTGCACTTTTAGCTGTACATAAGAGGGCATCTTACGCATCAGGGTCTTGCCTATGCTTTAGTGATCGAATGCCAACTCGGTCTGGTTGCGGCGCAGGTGTAATAACAGGCAATGCAGCGCTGTGTACCAGTCCAACCAGACCACCCAGAGCCAACCAATTCCATCCTCTTAACGAATGCATATATGCGGAGCGAGTGTTGTAAAGAAAGTAGTAGTAATAAAAGCAAATGGCGGAGAGTCAACGTTCGTAGTGTCAGCGCTTCATGTCTGGCAACAATGGTACAAACAATCCAGAAGCCGACGCCCAGCAGCAGCGGTGGCCATACTTTTTGACCTGTTCATACCCATGTACATTATTGCATGCCGTCGACGTCCATAATTCGTTGCAGCGAGCAAAGTCGTTGCAAAGTGGCGATTGACTTATAGATCGTCACCACAGCCCGCCGGTCTCTTTACTGCACTTGGAAAATGTCATGCAGATCCAGGGTTTCGTCAGCCGGTTATGAGGTCGCGTACCCGCAGATTCGCCCCTCACTAGCCACAGGTCGGACGGCACTCTTGATCGAATCGCATGTCGAGCTGCCGATTATCCTGGCACGGATGCTTTGGGGGAGCGTTCTGAGTGGGTCAACGGCAGCACGTGGCTGTGCAGCTGCTGGGGGGTTCGCTTCGCTGCCGAACTGGAGAACACTGTGCCGGCGAAGCGACGGGATCTGGATGTCGCGTAGATGTTTGATGGGCGACTTTTGTAGGAAAGATTGGCAGACGATGACAACGTGACGTTCGACGGATATTCTTTTTATTTTTGGATCAGTGGTATCGGTGCACGAATGCTAGCCAATGATCGTAAGTGCGCGGATGGTTTGGTCAGTTCCTTCCATCTCGCGTCGGTTGCGCGCTCAAACGCGCCCGAAGAGGCAGTCACCATAGCCACCAGCGATGACTGTTCTTTCCAATCGCAAGAAAACTCCAACGCAAGCTCTTATCCACTCGACCCAACTAACCTTTGTCCACGATCCTACCGACATCAGCAAACTGCGGCATGCACCCCATGCAGGAGATTGGTTCTTTGCCTGCGTACCTGCGCCATACCGAAGACGAGGTTCAGGAACGGGACGAACGCGGCATACGCGTTAGGTGCGCGAGTACTTCGCAGCGTCCAGTTCACGTTGCAAGCAAAGTACGAGCGCCCATTCTGAGGAACGCAGATGGTGCCTACAGCATCATTGCCTGTGCATTACCACAACCAAAACACATCCAAGACTATGACGCGTAGCATAGTCAGGATTGATCTCTTTCCCAGCTTGAGTCGGATTCTTTCCTAAGCGTTAGGACTCTACACACTATGACGACATTTAACAAACTGCCACTTGCAGGTCGGCCATGCGATCGCACACCTAATGTTATAGGGGCTGGTCTGTCGCCCGCCACTGCGATACGAACCCAGCATTGTCGACATACTTTCTGCTTAAACGATACAGGGTTGCCTCTCTAGAGCTAGGTTCCCCGAATCTCAACGGGAATTAGCAACAGGTGCTACTAGCAGGCTACGGCAACCTTCATCTTGGAAGCGCAGTTTCGTTCGGACCGCCTAATCACTATCGACCAAGATCCAGGATCCATCAGCTTGAAGGTCGACATATCTTTTCTCGATACCTTGACATTGGCAGGAGTCAACATGGCAACTTACGAGGGAACAACCAATTGAAAGAAGCGACGCTAAGCTGATAGCTCGTGGACCTTGTCTGATTCGTGGATCTGGTCGAATAATCGACGATGTCCGCCTCGGGTCAAGTTCTGCGGCACCCCACTTTCTTGAACTCAGACGTCTCAGTCAACCGAGCAAGCAAGAGTTGTCCAAATCCGAGATATATCGGTCATCCATTCTCCTCATTCCATCAAACAGGGCTCGTTGGTGTAGTTGGTTATCACGTCAGTCTAACAAAGGTCCTCAAAAGCCTTGTCAGTACACTGAAGGTCCGGAGTTCAAACCTCCGATGAGTCATCATCGGCGTTCGCAAGAGCGCATTTCTCCTTTTTTGCTCTCTCATACCTTTGCGAGCATCTTTTTGACGTTGCAAAGACGGTGGACGTTGCAAAACGCAACTTTGGGCTTTTTTTTTCGATGCTGATATAGTCTACAATGTCTTCGATGCACGACATACATACTGACTGCTTGGTTCAAGGCTTTAACGCTGCAGCGTAAAAAGTCCACACGTTTGGTTTCACTATTTTCCTTACGTGGACCTAGTTCGCAACTTCAATCACGCATCCTGGAGCACCATCTTAGTGCCGACAACGAGGTAGACACGGGGTACATTGTGCAGTGCTCACGACACATCAACATGTATAGTCTTGTACCACACCCAGCATTTTATAAGCACTTGCTCATCACGCTATGCACAAAGTTAGGTCATTAAGCAACAGCAAAGTGTCTTCGGTAAACGATTGGTTGAGGAAATCTTAGCTATCCTCTATAGTCTTCGTGTGCCTGTTAATGGCAAAGTATGTACATGGAACGTAAAAATGTACGACTTGAGTGTTCTTTTTTGGGTGGCAGGGAAGCTCCGAGATGTGGATGCGCCATGGCAACGCGTAGAGAAACTGTCATCTGCTTTGAAGCATGGCTTAGTAGGAGCCTGTGTTCATAGCGGCATGTCCGTCGACGGTGACGGTGATTGTCGCCTTTACCGTCTCAGTGACAACAGCTCCGCCCGTGCAGGAAGTAGCATCTGCAACTTCAGACGCAATCGGGGTGGGCTGCGCAGCATTGTAGCTGCCAGTTGGCTTGCCAATCTGCTTATCAGGAAGCACGGCGCTGTAAGATGAGAAGGCGCTCATGGGGAGAGGAGTTGCGGCCTCTCCGACTACCGACACTGCAGAAGAGACGTTGGGTAGGACCGCGGAGTAGACGCCGGAGGGGGCAGCCCCATATACAGATGAGACGGCAGCCATGGAAGTAGGGCGTACGGTTGCGGAATAAGTTGCTGTGCTGTTGCCAGCAGGGGCAGGTGCAGCAGTGCAGCCTGGGCCAGATGCTGAGGTAGCAGAAGCAGGGCCAGACTGGATAGGGTTGCAACCAGGGAGAGCATCAAGGACGCTTCCATCGTCGCCGCCGTATGCCTCCATGGCAGAGCAGCTTGCCCAGGACTCGTCGCTGTCCTTGTTGACATTCTCGGAACCGAAGCACTGTTCCATTTCTTCCTGTCCGCATCCGCAACCGCACTTGCAGCCATCGTTCTCACTCACAGCCTTCTCGAGGACACCGGTCTCCCATCCGTTCATCTATTGTCATATTAGTAAGGGCATATAAGAGGGGTGTAGAAGAACTTACAAAGTCACCGTGGAAGCCGTAGCCAGTTGGGTCACCGTTGGACAAGAGCCAAGGAGCCTCATCAGGACCAAATGTAAAGCTGGTAACATCCCACCAGTACTCGATGAAGAGAGTCGGGAAGCGCGCAGCCCTGTGAGTGGTTGGGCAGTTCTCGATACCGATGCCAGCGTTGCCGTTGGGGTAGGCCATGTGCGCATTGGGGTTCTTGGGATCCATCTTCTCACCGTTCCAGCAGGAGGGGAAGGTGACTTCGGACGCGAAGCCGTACTTGCAGGTGCTGAAGCCCTTGGGAAAACCATTGGCGAAGATGGCTGTGGAGCCACCGTCAGGCTCGTGGCAGCCCCAACGAACACCGGCTGGGTTGTCGCCATCCGAACGCTTGAGCGGGCTACCAGCGATCATGTTGAAGTCCCCTGGGTACGCCGTGACGTTTGCCCAGTTGTTGCCATCCCCGTACTTGTAGTAGATCTTGGTGGACAGCTCGGGTACGCGGTAAAGTTTGGTTCCGTTGGTGAAGAACAGAGTAGGGCGCCAGTACAAGGACTTGTCGGTTTTGACACGAGCAGTGGTGCAGTCCGAGGCCTGGGTATCAGCAAAGCCCATGGACTTGGAGAGTCCATTTCCTCCGTCGAAAGAGTGGAGATGAGGGCTCTCAGTTCCGGGGAATAGACCGGGGTCGAGACGCTGGTAGCTCATGGCATTACCAGCGCGGTTGTAGAAGCTGAAGTAGTTGCCAACGCATTGAGCGGAGGCAGTTGCGGCAAAGCCAGCCGTGAGGGAGATGATATCGAAACGCATGGCTGCTTAGTGGTAGTGCTCGGGTATATGGTAAGTGGATCTCAATTGTAAGACAGCGAAAAGAGTGAGCTGTTTGTTAATGAAAGGACCGAGTCACAGACTCTAGATGCTCTTGATGTCAAAGGAGTGTATATGAAGAGCCAAAAGAATGAAAGAATGGTATTCCCGTACCGGAAGCCAAAGAGAGCGATGGGAGAGCAAGCGACAAGAGCAAGAAACGACGGGCAGGGTGCTGGGTAAATATACATCGACACCCACCTGCACCTGGGATTGCATGCAGCCTGCTGTGGCCAGTCCACGCTTGAGGCGCCCCATTCTAGGACGAGATTAGCTGAGGCTTCCAAAAGTTTGACTATGTGACTAGATTCGCGTATGTGCGTCGTTGTTTCCAGGTGGAGATCTAAGCCAGGGGAGCCGCGCGCAGTTCGTGGGCGGCGCGGGCGTCAGGGGTAGGATAAGAGGATCCCACTCCGCGAGTCACAAAAATACTTAGCAGTGACGCCCAAATGCCTTCAATCTGCAGCGAGGCTTGCAGTACGCCGTCGCTGTCTGAAACAAGCCGATATACGGTTCACGCGACGCCCATTGTTTGCTTCCCGGAGTCTGGACGGTAGTCAACGTATCGATAGGACAGAAACACACATCCCGTTCCTGACGGTGTTCGGGGCGCTTAGCGTCACGATCGTCGGAGGCGAGGCATCGGTGGCTGATCTTCAAACGGTGCTGACTCCCCCTGCCTAAGATTAATGTCCGCGCGCGCTTCGATTTGCTGCAAAAGTTTCTTTTTAGGCTTCGAGACAAGGGCTTTGATAAGGAGGACAATCCGGCAAAGATGCTTTCTTACAGTGAACCCACCCAAAGTGGAGCTGTGTACTTTTACCGCTGGGCCGCGACGGGAGTCACCCAAAGGATCGCCCCGGCATCTGGAAACGAGATTTTCGCAAGGACCGCTTGCTGTCTTTAGATATGAACCAGGGCAGTGGTAATCTTGACGACCTGTCATATCCTGTATGTGGAAGTAAATCGATAAGAACCGCACACGGACTTTCCAAACTCGTCGTCACTCTGCACGGCACAGTGAGAGATGACAGTCCGTACCTGGACACAGCATGTGCGTGGCGTCGAATAACAAGTTTGTGGTGACCTGCAGACTGGGTCTAGCAGCCAGGAGAACCGATGCAGCTCTCCTCTAGTTCAAGACTAAGCCTGCAAGATACGTGTTCCTGCGCGTACCTGGCAGAAGTCTCCGTCCGGTAGAGAGCGGCCACCATTCAACAAGTTCACAGTAGTCGGAGCGTGGACCCTTTGCCATTTAGCCCGATGTCTGAAGTCTCAACGACAGCTCAAGACACGGCTGGTATCGATAGGGAGATTACCATCCCTACTATTTGTGAAACGCACAGTACTCATAGCAGAAGACGTGTGGTCTGGACCAGACTTGATCGACATACCACGTGTTGCTGCCCAGACGTGGAGTCGAGGAACTTCGCTGTCGTCATGATTCGTCTCGAATGGGGCCGGCATTGTAGTGCCTAAGGATGGACAGTATCTCTCGATAGCACTGTACGCGCGCAAATGTTCCCTGTGTGATGTTTCAACGCCATGAATAGGACGTTGACAAGGAAGGCGCGTAATGAAGGCCTGCAAAAACTTGTACTGTGATACGCTGTGGAGCATCCCTGTACTACCAGTAGGCGCTCCGTACATTTCGCGCTTGTGTTAACATATGTGGGTGTGAATGAACCACAATTGTTGAGCTTCCACGGGACGAAGCGACCGGTACAACAGAGCGGCAGCGTGCCGCAAAAGAACAAAACTTTGTTTTGTCTGATTAGCAGAGCCTTTTGTTTCTGGAAGGTCTAATAGATTCCCAGTATCTAGGAGAAGGAGCAACATAGGTGGAAAGACGACTTGGCGGATGCCCATGAATCGCAAACCATAGAGTGAATGAAGATTTGTTGCATATCAACTTGGGTTCTGTGCGTATCAACGCCTGAATGGTTGTACTGGCGATTCGCACGTACAATATATATTTGTACTTCATGCCTGTAAACTATCTGATCGACGAGAAACATGGACATCAATCTAATTGACGTCCTTATCGTCGTCTCTATCATAGCTGTGCATATTGAGATTGATCAAATGTACAACCGCTTGACGCAGATGAGACGTATGTCGGTCTGGACTGTAGGTCCAACTAAGCCCTATTTGTTGGGGCAACCTTGAGTCGGTCACGCAGATGAGCAGCGTTTCATGATGTTCTTTCGAACTCGCCTGATGGATTTTAGATTCGTCGCGATGTTAGGTGGGCGCCAAGTGCATGTCATGTGGCTCAAGCTTTCCCACTCAACACACTTTCGACAACACCCCATCGATCGATGCTTCTCTTGACCAGAGCTCCCATTGTCTCTCTCCCCACAACACCCCCACCGCTCTTCTCCACTCGCCTGATGACCAAGTCTTTTGTACCCTTGTTTCCGCCAGCGCAATCCACCATCACACTGACCGTTTCTCTGCATACGCCCTCCTCAAACGCATCCGGATCACTGAGTACAAAGTCTACTGCTTCGTCTTCCTCTTCTCTCCTGCCTTCGAACACTGCGAATGTGCTGGGTATTGGTAGACCACGTAGCTGAAGCTGATGCGCCTCATTTGGTTCGTCCGAGCATAGTATTCCCTCGTACTCTTCGTCGTAGTAAGCGTGTGGAAGAAGTGTATCGCGGAGTGCGGCAAGTATAGATATCCACGCAGCATCGAATGCGTTGCCATCAATGCTGATGAAGAAGACATCGAGGTAGAGGACCCAGTAGCCTTTCAGTTGTGTCTCGGCCTCCGTGTCTGGATCTTCGGGATTTGTTGATGGCTTATATAGTATGCGGAGGTCTGAGGCGCGAAGAAGGTGTGTTGAGTTGAGGAGAGAGCGTATGCGGGTTATAAGTGTTTGCGCATATGTGGACGGTGCATTGCCGGGGATGTGAGAGGGCGTGCTTCCTGTAGATAGTTCCACGTTTGGGACCAAGAGCCTCAGCTCTTCCACTTCCTCATCATCCCCGTCGTCTTCGTCGTCTGCATTCTGACCTGGGTACTTGTAGGTACCTGGTATGTCCTCTTCTTTCAAGATCTCCGCGCGCACTCCGCACACCACACTTGTGTTTCCGAGTCGCACGACCGCACTGCCGTTGCAGTGAGTTAAACTCCCGGTGTTGATACCTGGTGTGCGAAATTCGTTTGCGGTGCGGCCGTTGGCGCGAATTGGCTTCTTCTTCTCAGCGGAGAGATGCGCTTGGAGAAACGGGTGCGGGGAGACAGCGGCGAAGATTGGGCGAGGGAATGTGAGCGCTGGGGAGGATTGGGTTGTGGTGGCCATGGCGAGAGTACTGCACGATAGTTTGCACTTGAGTGTGGGTGGGATATTCGAGGCGCGAGTCGTTAGCACCTGTGTTGACGCTGGGAAATTTTGGAGCTCTGAGCTATGACGCGCTAAGGTTAAGCTTAATGGGTGGGGCCTGGAGATCTTAAGCATAACCTGATTGTCACATTGATCAAACATCCATGTTGGGCCATCATAGCAATCAATCCCACTTGATAAAAATTTAAGACTATATAACCCACGCGCTATGCCCCGGGGTATTCCCATACGCTGTGAGTGAAACGCGACATGCAAACACAAACACTAGCTACATCCGATCTCTGTGATCAATCTGTCCAGTCTCCTCGCAGTTGTAGCTTCGTGAAGCTTCGAATCTATCCTGAACTGAGTCCAGCCTTACCGACCTGCTGTACAGGCGTCCATTTTCCCTCTTTCTTGAACTGATCGCCCCTCAACGTGCCCTCAGCAAGCTGGCTGATCATGTAATCCCTACCCTTGATCATCCATACCATCTGGCTGGGTACCCTAAATCCATTGAATGCGCCCACACCCTTCTGGGTCCCGATGGGGCAGATCTGCTGCTCCTTCAGGTTCGCTGTGTAGTGACGATCGCCCTTGTGAGGCTCCCCGGTCAAGTGGGCAAGAAGGTCGTTCTTGAGGTTGGTCATGGCAGCAGGCACAGCATCGGACATGTCCATGACTCCTCCACGGGTGTATGACCCTGCGTCGCCGACGACGTAGACACGCGGACCGGCGGATTCGTGTTCGACGCGGAGGGTCTTGTCGTTGCAGGCTACGCGATTGCGCGTGTCGAGCCACTCCTTGGGAAGGAAGCCAGTGTTCGGCCGAGAGCCAGTTGCATCAATGTAAATATCCGCTTCTACCGTTTCGCCGTTGCTAAGCTCCACCCTCGTCTTCGCGCCTTCTTCTTCGCCCGCTTTGGTCGACGCAACAACCCTGGTATTATAAGTGACATCGCATCCCAGTCGCTTCAGGAACTGCTCTGCAGTTTGTCCAATAGCTGGGCGGAGGAGAGGCAAAAGCTTCTTGTCACCGCAGACAAGAGTGACCTTTGCTTTCGGGTTCTTGGGCGCAGACGCCATGAAACCAGGTCGACCGTTCAAAATCTCAGCAACCTCTCCAGCAGTTTCGACACCCACAGGGCCACCACCGCCAATTACTACTGTCTTCGCGCTCTTCAGGCCCTCCTGAAAGGCCGTGTGTACTTTCTCGAGGGCCTCGCGATCGGTAGCTTGTGTAAACAGAGGGCTTGGTGTAGTGAATCCAGTTGCTATTACAAGCGCGGCGTACTCGATGTTTTGTTGCTCGCCTGACGCGGTTTCAACACCAACCGTCTGGCTGGTGGGGTCGACGTGTGTAGCGGTCCCCTGGACGAACTTGAATTTTGGGAATGCGTAGGTGAAAGCGGGTTCGATTGGATAGAATGTCTTCTCTGAAGGCATCATCTGCTTAGAAACGCTCTCTCTAGGTGCTGCGATGCGCCACCAAAAATCTTTAGAGGGGTTGACGAGTGTAACATTGTAGGTCACTCCGTCCTTCTTCGGTAGTTGCGGGAGGATATGCTTCAGGGCGTAATGCGCGGCGCTGATTCCTGCGAAGGAACCCCCGAGGATAAGGATAGTTTCGGTGCTCATATTGAATGACGATTAAAGATGCGCTTGAAATGAGTATACTGAGTGAAGAAAAGATTATGAGCGAAACAAACACGTCGCAAAAAGAAAACGTTTGGGAGACGCGTCGATGATAAACTTTAGGCGCGCTTCAAGCCTGAGGGACGCCGTAGGTGGGGAGCCGCCGAATCGTCAAGTCGAGGCTGAATCGAGTGACTGAGACGTTTCATTATAGTAAGCGTGTTGTTAGCCCTTCATAAATAGTTCTCAAAGTTTCCTTATCAGTATTTTAGCCGACATTGGACGTTGCTTATGCTTGGGCTTATGAATCGCAACCATGGCCACGCTGCTTATTCCAATTGTGAGATGTTGGAGGCTTGGGAAAAGGAAGCTAGGGATCGCGTACTAGCTGTTTTACGCCTAACCACGGAACCCATTGTTGCCGAACCCTTGCTGACAATGATACGGATGTATAAACTATGGCAGCAGACAGATTTGTGCTTACGAAGTCGTAACAATTGCGGGGGTATTCCGTCCTTCTGGCGCCTATACCCCAAATCACGAGCTCTGAGGCTTGACACATTAGTTACAGCTGACTCGTGGGATCTTCAACGACTCTTTGTCGCACTACCATCTCGAAAAGCTTCATTCGCGACATTCGATTCATGTGCGCAGTCGTAGGCCTTGGAAACTCGCAGAGTCAAATGCGCGTAGACTCCCATCTTGTGTTTGGTGCGCAGTCATGACATGGGGAGCGTGCTAGAAGATTTTCATTCATATCTGTTCCGAGACATAACGCCAGTCCGGTATCTGAATGCAAGACCCACCGCGACTGCTGACCGTCACGGTCGTTGCATCCATGAAGTCCTCCATATCAATATACATGCGGTAGGCTGTCATTGCACATGACTCCTCCCTGGCTCTTTCCAGTCGTTGTCAAGCTACTTTTTGTGTAACTTCTTACTCGACCTCAGCCTTGGACTCGAAGTTCTCACCAGCGACAAGTTCGGGGATGTCATCATCGTCCTCGTCGTCGTCGTCCTTCTTCTCGCCGTCCTCACCCTTCTCCTTCTGCATGCTCTGGTAGGACTCGGCAAGTTTGCGTAGCGATGCGAGCGAATCTGGGCCGAGCTGGTTGAGGATGCCGGGGACGAGCTCTGTTAGCTCCTTGTCCTCACCGTGTCCGTAGATGGCGAAGGTGTTGGCAGGTACTGAGGCGTGGACTAAACAAATGTGCGCGTCAGTATATGGTGTATTACGAATGTGGGTGATGGAAGAGCGGGTTTAGATAATAGCATGTCTGCTGTATGTCCAAACTCCCCTCTCAACCTTCTCACGGTGCGGAGCTCTAGGATGACGTACCCTTAGGTGCCGAGAAGTGGATGACGTTTCCGTCGCTCTTGAACATGTTGACCTCCTCAATGGCCTGGATGGGCTGGACGTTGAGCTTCTTCAACGCGGTCTGGAGCTTCTTGTCGTCGGTACCAGCGGCCCTGTGGACCTTCTTGACCTTCCTGCGGGGAGTACCCTTGCCGCTATATATCGAGTTAGCCTCGAATCCCTCATATCCATCTGAGTCCTGCTATGCCATTCGCTAGTGATTGGTGGTCGTGGTGGTGGTTTCGGGGTGTCAAGATATTTTGTGGTGCGGGGCTGTCAAAAATAGAGGACAAGAAGCTTGCTTACCCTATACACGCACAGGTTAGCAATGGATACCTCGAGTGATATGACTGCCTGCCGCCCAAGGCAATTCCAGCTCAGAATAGGCGTACATACCAATGCGCACTGACGCTTGCATGCGCGCCAACTTTGCTTGATCCATATTTGCGGTGTTGAGGAAGAAGGATGACTAGGTGGGGAGAGCTGTGCAAGTCGAGGGTCAGCGGTCGGGTTCGGTTTCTTCGCAGATTTGAGCGAGGGCTTGAGCTCAGGGTGAATACGGGATCGGTACGCACCTAAATTCGGGATCGTGGCCGAGACTTGGAGTGTGGTGTTGCTGGTGAAGTTGTTGCGGGCATCGGCGAAACTCTACGGAAGCGCCGATTGTGTGCATGCCTCGCTTGTTGGAAGCTCCAGATCCCCGCAACGTCAGAGTGTCATTCCACACACATGAACGCCAACACGCCGCCATCAAGCTCGCATCTCAAGACTGACCGTCAGCTCACGACGGGCGCCAATTCTCACTCGCAGCGCATTTACGCAAAATGACATGCTTGTCTGTTTCTCGAGACACGTAAATGCATGCTTCACTTAATGGTAGAATGACGCAAGGCACAGAAGGGAATAATCAATATTGGTATACAGCTTTCTACCTCAACACGCCACTATCTAGAGCAGTGCCATTCCAGCCAGACCAACAGCACCCAAAGCCCACGAGGCAACCTTCGCTTGTGTTGCTGCGCCGGTGGTCGGTGTGGCTGATGCTGCACCTCCACTGGTCGCCGAGCTCGGGCTTGCGTCTGTTGATGATGTTCCGTTGGGGTTTCCAGAAATGTTCTCCTGGGTAACACTCATGCCTGTTTGGTTCTTGCAGTCTTCACTGAAGTTGATCTGGGCATTGTTGACCAAGGTTACGTCCGCGCACTATGGACATTAGCGATTCTGTTGTAACGGGGAAGTCCATGAGTAGTAAGCTTACCTGGTATAGACCACCCGCCTCGTGGTTGTTGGTAACGACTTGTATTGAGGCCTTGGTGCCGTCCGAAACGTTCAATCCTGCCGGTACGGCGACCGAGCCTAAGCAAAAGTCTCCAAGCCCTGAGACCTGGAGCTGCTGTTGTGCGACAATGCTAAACCCATCCCCCGGGTTATCGCCAATGGCCATGTACACAGCAACATTCGTTTGTGGATGCTCCATGTGCAGTTGTATTGGGCCACCGCCAATGGGGAAGTCGGTGCGTTGTTGTTGAACATCGTTGAAACCTCCGCACGGGAAGTTGCCCTCAGTGTCGTCGGTGAACCCACGCGCCGCAGGAAACTTGAGTTGAAAATGAGCGAGGGAAAGAGGTAGGAACGCGAGTGTGAGGATGCTATTGGAAAGCATGTTTACGGTTCGGAGGTAGATGTAGGTATTGATGTCAAGGTAGAGAGGAAGACGCGGTTGACTTTGTATAGAGAAGCGCGAGAAAGTCAAGAATGCAACAATGAACAGCAAGCGAACGCTGGGAACTCCTGCCGTATTTATTGCAGCTTAGGTTGGAACGCATCTTACCATGCCGTGTATTCCGTCCAGTGAACCGCGTGCCTCGCGCGTGAGCACTGATGGCGACATGCATTTAACCTGCGTTTCAAATAGGCCGACGATCTAAGCAAAGAACAGTAAGTGAGTGATATTCTGCATCGGCGGCGGCACTCGCTAATGTGCAAGTTATCAGGGTACGGTATGTTGTGGCGCGCTGGTTGAGCAAGTTTATTACCAAAGCAGTGGTTCTATGGCGGAAGCGACTAGCGTCGAACATGGATCTATTCCACCCATGAGAATTCCGGTGACACTCTGAGGCCTGGACTATGGTTCTACACCGGCTTTGAAGATCAAAATCATGGGAATAACACGTTCATGAATCGCATGTTCGGATCTTGTGTGGAACAAGCTTTGTGGACCTGGCGATAACGTTAGCACTTCGTGGGTCAAAATGTTTGGCCGAGCACGGAGCGATAAGAAAGGTTCCGTGAAGCATGAATTAATTGAGGCGCTGATGTGAACAAGCAACTTTGTCATGACAAGTTTTCTTATGAATACATAGGTGTGGTTAAGAATCTAACTTAATGGGCCGCAACTTGGTTGAATCTGCCAAATGCCAGTTCGCCGACAAAAGCACCTGCCAAAACAGACAAAAAGTATCCCACATTATATGTCATAACTGCCAACATGCTGTTGAGGAGTCAGCTTCGACCAAGGCAATGTACAAGCATGCATATTACTTACAGGAGGTATCCGACACCAGCCGCAACCGTCATTATGAGTGCCCTAGGCAGATCGACACTGAACCTCCATGGCTGAATATGAGATACAGGCGCCGAGACAACCCGCACATCTTCCTGGACACCATTTGTTGTAAGAATACCAGTCATCGAGTTGGCGTCATCCGTAGCTTTCTCGATAACCGCTCTTTCGCCAGCAACGACAACATATCGTCGCTTCAAGGCGCTCTTAACTGCTCTGACCTCAAGCAAGGTTTTCGCTGTAAAGACTGCACGGAGGAGGATGGAGAGGAAGATAAGGAAGATGCATGTCCCAGCGTATTGACCAGCAGTCGTAGGGGTCCATGCTTCGGAGTATAGCGGAGTGTTCGTCGCCGTGAAGAAAGCCATTGCCATGCTGCCATGTGACGAAGTACCCATATCCATGCCGCCCATATCCATCGAACTAGTAGCCGTTTCGTGACCCTCGTGAGCGACCATGGTGCCAAGCTGGGTGTGTGTGCGCGTAATCGATGAGAATGTTTCTGACGATGAGGTTCAGAAAAGCGTACGTCTGGGTTGTGTGGGGTGATTAGATATCGAAGACTAGGTACTGAGTTCCAGACTGCTAACTCGGTACTGGGGAGATGATCGCTTAAGAGTCCTTGGTACGTTATGGGGGTTGCACGTTCGCTGGTTCCGATTGCGCAAGTAAAGACGCTTCAGCATGAACGCATAACCTGGGGGCGTTGATTTCGTGTTGCAGTGTATACGAGTTAAGTGAGTGAGTAGGATCTTGCGACACTCAAGAAAATGTCAAGTCTGGGCTGATGCGTGAAGCGTCAGGGCATGTGAGCACATTTCTCGGCACTGCCTTCCCGCCTACAAGTAAGAGAGAGCAATCTCGAAGCCACGGACGGCCTGCAGCGATGCACCTGCAGCTTCGGTGGGCCATGGCGCGCTGCCGGTGACTACGAACGAACGGGCGACGTTCAAAGAGCCGTGAGTTCCAAGAGCGACTTTGAGCATAATTAGCCGTCTTTGGTTAGCACGCGAAGCTTGACCTACGCCACGGCCAGGATGGTGCCCACTGGCCCTCAATCCAGGCCCCGCAGTGCATCGAGCCTGCATGTGGGAGGCGATTGATTACACTCGGCACTACGGAAACATTGGATTATTGTTAGAAGCGTATCTGAAGGTGCTCCATGTGTGACACTTCCTCTACATCACTATCGGTCCTCGTTGTTCCTATGACACTGCTACACTCTATCCATCTCCCAAAGTACCAGAGTGTATCTTCGCACCCATAACTCATCAGTCGACGAAACCATCACCCTAGTTACGTCTTAGACTTGTTTCCGACCGAGCCAGCATGCGATAAACACCAAGGCTAGGCTTTCGCCCGTCCGTCATTCGCAAACGCCCAACTTCGCATCTATTCCAGGCCTGAAATCATCAGCCAAACGACGGTTGCGTAATCGCAGCGGCGCCCATCATGAGCCACAACCACATGTCGATGGGCTCTATGGGCATGTTGCCCGAGCTCACAGAATGGCCAGATTTCTACTACGCAGTAATAGGGGCAGCAGTAGGCGTCGCAACAATTTTCAACGTCTACAACTACGTGCTATACCGCCAAAGAATGCTTACGATAAGAGGCGGTTCGCAGACACCCGCAAAGCCGAGGTCATGGTTCGCTCTTGGAAACGCGACACTCTTCGCATTAACGCGCGAAGCGTCTAACTTCTCTCTCCACATACCACTAAAGGGTCGCGTACTCAGATTACCAACAGTCGGTCGATCGTCCTTGGTTGCAGCAAACGTAGTAGTCCTAGTCGTCCTATGTTTGTACGGCTTCGATGTGACGGACCAGTTCAGTATGGAAAATATTGGCTTCCGTTGCGGTGTGGTTACGATCGCCCAACTACCTATCATCGTCCTACTAGCGGGCAAGAATAATGTAATAGGGTGTCTTAGTGGTGTCAGCTATGAACGTCTCAATTGGCTTCACCGGTGGTGCGCTCGATGTATGCTTCTCACAGCTACTATGCACATGGGGTACTTCTTCAGTGCCTGGGCACCGTACGACTACATTGGCTACCAACTCAAGAACAACAAGATTGTGTGGAAAGGCCTTGCCGCCTGGTGCACGCTGGCGTGGATCGTCTTCAGCTCTATGACACCCATTCGTGGCTGGAACTACGAAATATTCGTTATCCAACACATCGTCTCCTTTGCGGTATTCCTTGCGTTCGTTTACATTCATACCCCTATCGAAATGAACGGCTATGTTTGGGCACCCGTTGCCTTTTTCCTGTTTGACCGTGTCTTCCGCGCGCTCCGACTACTATACATCAACACATCCTTCTTCCATCCATCGTTGAAGAAGCGGGGCCAGATCGATGGCTTCTGGGTATGCAAAGCTGAGTTCACACCTCTTCCACACAACACCACACGTATCGTTGTCACCAATCCTCCTATCAGCTGGACTCCTGGCCAGCATGTATACCTATCTTGCCATTCCCTAGTACCACTCCAAAGTCACCCGTTCACCGTGGCATCGATCCCAGAAGATGGAAAGATGGAGTTCTACGTCAAGGCTGAAAAAGGCGGGACAAAACGTTTCTTTCGGCATGCTGAGAGATCTGGCAGTCTGGTTGGAGTGACTGCAAAAGCCAGAAACGTGGCCATAGAAGGCCCCTATGGCACTTTGAGACCACTTCGTCAATTTGACAGCGTCGTTCTCCTAGCGGGCAGCACCGGTGGAACCTTCACCCTTCCGCTCCTACGCGATTTACTCCAAGGCTGGAAGGAGAACGCTCGTGATAGCCCAGGCAGCACTTCATTCTTGAAAGCGCCAACTGGCGCCGTCACACGACACCTTCGCTTCGTATGGGTTGTCAAGAGTAGAGGTCAACTCAGTTGGTTCTCTGAGCAACTTTCCTCCATATATACCGAGTTCGAAGCGCTGCAAGAAACACTTCGCGATATCAAGCTCGAGATGACGGTGTACATCACCTGCGACGAATCCTTTACCGAAGAGCACAATTCTTTACTCTCGGGTGTGACAGCACCCAACACGAACGCAGCACAGCAGCAGAAGGAACCTAAGCACGGCGCAGTGCAGTATAGATCGCCTCAACAGATGACAACAGGAAGCAGCACGACAAAGTCAGAGAAGGAAGGTTATCAAGAAGTCGCATCTCTCAATTCTGAAAGCCTCGATGTCCAGCAAACGTCCTGTGGTCCGAACGGCACATGCTGTTGCCGCGCTGCCATCGACGAATCGGAGTCTTCTCCAGCCGGTAAAACCGTATGTGTCTGCTCGAAACCCAAAGCCAATGCATCATCTCGTCCCACTTCCTTCGTACCTTCTACTCCATCTTCTCTTGAACCAAGTAAGAAAGTTGTCGTACATCCTGCGATAGCGGTATACTCGGGTCGACCAAGAACACGCGATATTATATGCAGGTCATTGGAACAGGCGCTGGGAGAGAGTGCAGTGGTGGTGTGTGGGCCGCAGGGCTTAGTGGCGGATGTGAAGCAAGATGTCGTTTGCTTGAGCGATGAGAGGGCAGTGCATAAAGGAACGGGCGCGCAAGGCATATACCTGCATACCGAGAGCTTTGGGTGGTGATACCCACGACGACCAATAAGTGTTCGTTGAATCTGTCACATCGTGAATGTTCTCATCCGTTAATGAAGTATGGTAGTGGTAACATTCGTTGCGAAGAAATAAATAAGACTACAGATGCAAACCGTTTCATGACGGTGCAACGCCTCAACGCCTATCCAATCCAATCCACAATATCGCCCAAAATATGCTAGTATGCTGGCGAGAAGATGTGATGATAAAAAATAAGACCAGATGCAGTGATGACAAAGGGAAGAGATGGTAGATAGGACGCGACCCAATGGCTCGCTTTCAATCCACAATCATCAACGCCGAAACACCACTCCGTTTGATGAACAAAGGAAATGGTATCTGCCCTCCAGTTTTCCAACGCCATGGGAAGTGTAAACCAATACACCCATTATCTACTCCTCGTCGTGTCGTTGTAAGTGTCGTAATCGTTCCGGAGCTGTTACAGATCGTCCGTCCTACCGGACCATGCGTTTGCTGCGGACAATGAAGGGAGATGGCATCTCCGGCTCGGTCTCTGGGTCCCATACTGCAGGCGGGCTGATACCGCCAGTCCTCTTGACAGGACTCCTTCGGCCACCATATCCGAAGCCTTTCTTCGCGCCACCCTCATCTTCACTCATAGTGTGCACAGGGATACCGCGGGCTTGTTGAAGCTCGACCAATGTGCGACCCTGAACACCACCGTTGTTGCGCATCGCTTGCACACGGAACGCCTCGTTGCCCTTCTTTGATGGGAGACCAGCAAATGGTATGGACTTTGTTGTGGCGCCGGTCTTGCGTGGCGACGTCGATGGGTTGTCGGTGGACCTGGCCTTCTGTCGAGAAGGAGATGCAGCAACAATGGGTACGGCAGAAACGGGGCGAGGCTTCGTAGTTCTGGGACCCAGCAGGTTTGGTGTGCTTCCGAGTCGGGCGTTCGCCTTCAGTAGTGGTGCTTGAGCGTTCGCGAGCACCTTGAAAGGGTCTTCACTCATAGGACGACCGCCAGAGGCGCTTCGTGCGCGGGTTGGCGATGGCAGCACGGGAAGGTCGTCGTCATCGTCGAAGTCGGCATTCCACTCAGCCTCAGTGGGCGAAGGAGGAACATCGGCTTCCCACTTCTTGGCACCTTCCTTGGCCGCAGCGAAGATGTTTTGCTTAGGTTGCTGGTTGCGACGGGGGGAAAGGGAAAGTCCCTTGAGCGAGGCAGGCGCCGGCGATGGCTCGGCCATCTGAACATCCATGGGAGAATCCGGTACTTGTGTGGTGGAAGGCTGGGAGAACATTGTGCGGGCGCGAACGAGGGGGCCTCGAGACGGTCGCTTTGCCTTTGGTTTGGGCGCAATAGTGACGTCCTCGGTGTGATCATCTAGGGAGAGTGACGAAAGGTCTGTTCCACTTGCGAAGTCGGAATCTGTGTTGAGCGTGTTCTGGGAAGTGTTTGTAACGGCACCTTCAGCCTCTGCTGAGAACAAAGCCGAAGGTTCGGTTGCCGCCATGGTGGGTGTGTTTGAACGAGGAGCCAGCTTTGGTGATGTGCTCAGACGGTTGGGGTACATCTTCAAAGCGCGCTCTACCCGCCTGTTGACCTCGCCCTCAAACGTCGCCTGGAGGTGCGCCAGCTCTTTTTGTACCCGCTGCTCTGTTTGGAGCTTCACTTGCCTCTCGATCTCCAATTGTGCCTTGACTTCCCACTCTCGTCGTAACTGGTCGTCCAATTCTTTACGGATACGTGAAATGGCCTCGCTTGCTTCCTTCTCTCGCTTCGCTGTGAGCATACGTTGCTCTCGGAGATCTTGTCCCAGCTTGACGACTTCCTGCTCTTTGCGCATGAGCTTGACAATGGGCAAGTTGAGAAGGGCGGCAGTGTCTGGCCTGTGATCGGGTGTTGTGTTGAGGCAGCTGGCGATGACTTTTCGGAGCTCTGCTGAATAGCAAGCAGGTATGTCAGGGTATCGACCCAGCTTGATCTTGGAGATGAGTTCGAAGTGAGTCTTCGCGTTGAAGGGAGGTGACTTGGTGCACATCTCGTATATGATGCAACCGAGTGCCCAAATGTCGGAATGGGGTCCATATTGCTCCGCCTTGCAAATCTCGGGCGACATGTAGAAAGGAGTACCAACGTAGGTAGAGGCGAAATCGTGCGATTGGAGGATCTTGGACAGACCGAAGTCGCCCAGCTTGACACTGTTGTCGTCTCCGAGAAAGACTGCGGGTTGTTAGTACAATCAAGCGACAACAGAAGGACCAGATACTGACTGTTTTCAGGCTTGAGATCTCTGTGGAGAATCATAGGCTTGCGTGGGTCACGGACTGGCTTCGCGTTGCCAACCAGGCCCATGACGTTGCGGCCTGCCGCAGGGGGGTCTTCGCCATAATGGCAGCGGTACAAGGCGCTGACGATTTGGCTGAAAATGCTCCAGACAAACTCCTCCTCACAAACTTGGTTCTTGTTCTTTAGGTCTCGAATGACGCGTCCGAGGTCGCCGTTTCCGCAGTATTCCATGTAGAGGTGGAGGTCTTGCGATGCCTTGATGTGGTCGCGTTCGAAGTAGGCGACAATGTTGGGGTGTCGGAGCTCCTTCAGGATAGACAGCTCAGCCTGCAGCTGCTCGCGTTCCTTCTGCGACATCTTAAGATAGCTGATTTCCTTGCGGCAGAGGATCTAGGCGGCGGTTAGCAAGTCGCGTGCGCAGGCTCTGTCGTGGTTGCATACATAGCCATCTGACTTTCGCTTGACCTTGCGAATGATACCAAAGGACCCATGGCCTATACAATGTCAGTACGCGTCTCCCGTCATACTCCCAGGTCCGGCCGTACCAATCTTCTCGAGCACATCGTACTTTTCTTCCTCGGGCATGGTGAAGGTATTGCTATTGCTCAAAAGACATGCAATTATGGAATGTAGGTAAGGGTAGCAAGCTGCTGGGTTAGTAGAGGTCGAAGGTAGTGACGGGTGTAGATTATGTACAATGAATGGGTGGGATGGAAGCCAGGTTTCCTTGGTGTTTGGGCCTGTTTACGCTAACGCCCGTCAACCCAGCAACGCCCACGTTTTGCAGTTGCCAGGTGGGACGCACCCTTGTCACCGGCCTTATCGATAGCACGCCGATCTACGCCGCCACTCGTCATCGCATAACAATCAGTAGTCACTCTCGCAATATGTCGGGGCCAGCGAGTGAATCCACTTTTTGCCACAGCCATGGACGTCAAGAAGAAGTACGAGATCGAGGCGGCCCTCGCGACAGAAGCCCAGGCCATCTCGTCGGGCCAGCTCAAGGAAGAGAACCCGCTAGACTTGAGCGATGATTTCAGGGTCTTTTGTGAGGCTTGTCGGAGGGGAGACTTAAAGGTTTGCCAGGAGATGATCTCGACGGGTGTGAACATCAACGCCAGGGATAAATTCGATTATACACCTCTTATCCTAGTAAGACACCCTTCTGCTTTGTCTGGACACTTTGTTACCTGAACAAGAGCAATGCGCTGACCGCTGAAGGCTAGTCTCTGCGGTCACTACGAAGTCATAAGGTTGCTCCTTGAAAACGGCGCACTCTGTGAAAGAGACACTTTTCAAGGGGAACGATGCCTGTACAACGCCCTCAACGACCGTATACGCAACTTGCTATTATCCTACGATTACGCGAAAGCTTCCAACCCCCTCCAACCGCTGGCGGCGCACATTACTTCACTCCTCACGAGGACTTCGCCTAAGACGACAGACATCACAATTACAGCCTATGGTCAAGAATTCCATCTTCATAAATTCCTCCTCGCGGCACGATCGCCGTACTTTGCGAAGAAGCTGGAAGCAGCACCGAACACGGCCTCGTGGAAGCTACCAAACACCATACCCGCAGAGTCGCTAGGCGTGGCATTGCAGTATCTCTACTTCCAAGAAGTCTCAATACGCAGAGCGTTACATGGATTGAGTGATGAGCAGGAGCTAGTGGTGCTAAGCGGCATAGATAAGATTGGCAAGCAGCTAGAGATAGAACGTTTGTTCGAAGATATTACAGAAGTCTCGGATCGAAGATTGTTGCGTCAGCGACGCGCGGAGGAATTGGAACGGGGCCGAGATCAACTAGAAGGCTGGTTCAAGAACAACGTCCTCCGGCACAAGCGGGTCGTAGACACTGCAAAGGTGGACAACATACAATGGGACCGGGAGAACTCCATCTTCGCCGACATACTACTGCGTGCCGACGATGATGACGAGGATCAAGATTCCGAGGGCACCGATCGGTCACCAGGGCCATCAGAGTCATCCACGCCACCTGTGCGAAACACTCCAGGTCCTCTGTTAGGAATACCAGTCGGACCTGGTCGCGCACGTTCGAGGTCGCCTTCGCGTCAACAAGCGCCTCGTAAATCAACTATCTTCCCCGCGCACCGAGCTATGCTATTGCGTTCTGAGTACTTCCTGACCATGTTCAGCTCGCAGTTCAAGGAAGCACAAGACACACCGCATCTACAGATTGTGACTATCGACTGCTCGCCAGCAGTTTTGGAGACTATCCTTACATTCATGTATACCGAACGTGCTGACTTTGGTTTGGATATTGCAATCGATGTGCTCTTTGCGGCAGATCAGCTCTTCATCGAGAAGCTGAAGCAACGCGCCGCTATTATCATTTCCGCACTGGGTAACGGCGCAACCTCAGCAGTCGAGTCAGATAACCCACGGGGTGCTACAGATGCAGATGAAGCAGTGGACATCTATGAAGTCATCCGAGCCGGGTGGGACACAAGAGTACAGCGGCTTGAAGAATTTGCTGCGCGATACATCGCCTACCGGCTGGAACACTACATAGACCAACCTGAGTTTGCAGAGCTAGTCCAGGAATCTGCAAATCGCGTCAAGGCACGTCAAGAGACCGATACTGTCGAACTCGTCGACGACATCCGATACTACCTGTCGGAACGATTCAGGCTTCGCTTTGAGGACAGCGGGCTGGATGAGATGATGGATGAGAACGCAGCTATGCAAGCCAGTGCCGATGGAGATCTTGTTGATGCTATGGGCGATTTCGCGCTAGAGGACGGTATACCTAATAAGGTGCAGCAAGATGAGAACATGGCGTCGGTCGAGCAGCAAATTGCTGCTGGTGTCATTAGAAATCTGGATGGCGAGGAAGTCGGTGATGAATTTGCTCAAGATGCGATGAACTATCAAATCCTGCTAGGGAAGATAGATACGTTGCTTGAGAAGCTAAACTTGGATGCTTAGACAGAGAATCCAACCAAGCTTCATGCTAGATGCAAATTCACTTGCATGGACCGTAGCCCTTCAAGGCACACGGTCTTGCTGTCGTGCCGCAAAATGCAGAAGCGCAACACCCCTGCCTAACCGCACTTATTGACACAGTTGTATCTCCAGCACGTGTCCAGACCCCAGGCAGATGTTTAGCGAATGTTGAAAATCATCTGCTCTCTAGAAATACGCCCCATTTCTATGATACCTTCTTCATCCACCTTTCCCCCCACATTGCGAGAATACTTCTTGTTAGATCCCTCGGCCGTCTTCACATCGACTCGCATCATTATGACATCTGAATTGGTGCACGACTGTATTCGTAATGACCTCTTATGCCGACTACGGTGGAATTTGTTGGCCGACTTGCACAATATCGAAATTGTGGTAGGGCCTAAGAACGAAGAGAAGACAGTCCCGCTATTTGACCACCCCTCTGCGAATGATGACATCAGTGAGCCTGGTCTGAGCCGCATTGAGGTGAACAGCCGCGAATGTCTCGAAAAGTTCTACCTCTCGTACGATTCTGACCCAGAGCCGGACGGTTATCGACCCCCACCCTCTCTCATCGTTTCAAACGAAGACGGAAGGTCCATTACGTTGAGGCAGTTTGTTACCGAAGTGCATGCCTACCTGAACGAGCATTTGGACGAAGTCAAAAGCGCTCAGAGAGTAATGGCCGGGACGCCTTGGTCAGAGACGATGCTGTTCTACCGGCGTGCCTGGCCAAGGAGAACCGATGGTGGTAACATCATTGTGAACGTCGAATTAATGCCTCACGCTCGGGATGCCGATTTCATAGAGAAGCTTTGGGCTGCTCAACTGATACAGGCCCATGCGTACGAACAACGGCGACGGGCCTGGGCGCCGCGAAATGCGAGCAGTGCACTTACTTTCTTCTGATCACTTCCACGGTCCATGGCACAGGCCGACCAGTTGAGAAATCGGTCTCGATACCTTTGGGGACGAGGAATACGCGTCAACAACAATGAGTGGATGCTACAATTCTTCTCTTTGGATGGGTGCCATGGTCCCTGCCTGCCATGAAGCGTACATCATCTTCCAACTATACTCAAGGGAAATTGCAATCACTAGCCACTACATGAGGTTCCAAAGGCCCCCCTAATTTGTCTAGCATGTTATCTAGTGTACCATTACGCGAGCAGGAAAAGCATCCCAGATGAGCTGAAATGGGCCTGGAAGTCTGGAGCCATACTAGGGGGTACGCCGGCGGAGGGAGCATAAGGCGGGTATTTTGTCAAGCCTGGTTAGCAGAATGAAAATCAAGCTTTCTGTACCAAGAGCATTCGGTCTATCTATGGCGCTGGTAGCCAGACTGATTTGCAGTAGGCGATGCTGTCTTAGTTGAACCTACTTCATCATAGCTATTGGTGACATCATGGTGGGGTTCGGTGCGCAGCTCCCCGCCAAATGGTCGTTGACAGCTTGACAAATACCGTAGCAACTCATAATGCGCGTCATTGCCCGAGCGACCTCAACTCTTCAAACTCCAACGACTCGGCTCTTACCTCAACACTTGGGAAGAGCTTCAATCGCAAGGCCGCGACTATTCACAAGCTACCAAGCAATACCAACGCGCAAAGTACTTCCAAAACAACACATTGCCAATATGTCGACCGAATCTACACAGTCGCAGGCATGCTGCAACACACCTGCGGTGGTCAGTAAAGGCTACCAGCCAAAGGGTGATTATATTGAGGTAGACGGATTGAAGACCTGTACGTCCAACACCGAGACATCACGTCACGTCCCGACTAAATTCTACAGACCAGACCGGTCCCAAGGACGCAAAACAAGGAATTCTAGTCGTCTACGACATTTTCGGATTCTTTAATCAAACACTGCAAGGCGCTGATATCCTGGCTTACACCGACAGCCAGAAGTACCAAGTTTTCATGCCTGATTTCTTCGAGGGCAACCCAGCCGACATCTCCTGGATGCCGCCAGACACCAAGGAGAAGGAGCAAAAGATGGGTGAGTTCTTCAAGTCGCAAGCTGCGCCTCCGAAGACACTGCCGCGCATTCCGAAGATTGTCGACGAACTCAGCCAGAAGAACGGCATTGAGAAGTGGGCTATCATTGGCTTCTGCTGGGGCGGAAAGGTATGAACAAAGTGATTCAACCTTGATGCATGTGCTAACACCGCACAGATTGTCAATTTGTCGTCCATGGAAGGCACAAAGTTCAAGGTCGCCGCTGCGTGCCACCCCGCCATGGTTGCTGGCGACGACGCCCCCGGCATCAAGATTCCCTACATCATGCTTCCTTCCGGCGATGAGCCTAAAGACGATGTTAAGAAGTGGGAGGAGGGTATCAAGGTTCCTCACGTTGTAGAATGGTTCCCAGACCAGATTCACGGCTGGATGGCGGCACGCAGTGACCTTGAGCAGGAGAAGGTTAAGAAAGAGTATGAGCGTGGGTATAAGATGGTGTTGGACTTCTTCCACAAGCACATGTGAGTTTGATAGAGCTGTGGTAGTGTAGAGTTAGATGCTGAGTTCGCTAGGGGTTCCGAGGCGAAGCTCTAGTATAAAGGTAAGCAATGTCGACAAGGAATAATATATATGATTTTATGACATGAAAATGCTGTTCCAACACTGTAAACAAGCTGACTGCGAGCATTTCACTAGCGCGCTCTGGAAGGCCCCATGGGCGAGGATGACAGCCCAGAGATGGCGTGCAAGCAATTTTGAAGCCGCGCAACCATTATCAACTCGTTGGACTCATCGCCAATGTGGAAAAGGTCCGACGGAGTGGGATAGAGGGCGTCGCAGGATGATGAGAGTAGGGTGTGGGGCTCTTAGCCGTGGGGTTACTCCATGGGGCCGTGTGCATTGGCGTGCCCAGGTGGAACGGCGGTTTAAAGGCCGAGGGCACGTCGGCAATTGATCACGTTGTGGACGAACATGTCGCAGGTTATCTAGGAGCATTGGGCGTACTTCGGCTTACTTTTGTCGCGACTTATCTCTTCGGTGTATTTCTGTGTTTTGCTCTCGTACATTCTCCAGCCACGAGATATAGAAAGCACACCTCATCATGGCTCTCGGTGCGTGTTCCCATTTCGTGCAGTAACAGCCGCGGCGCGCTTGTCACGTCAACCCCCAACCATGTCTCTACCCAACTCACGTCGTGCATCTAAACTGACCCGGCTTTGAAGCACCCGTAGCAGGCGCAATTGCAGGCGTTACCGCAGCTGCCGCCTACATCGACGCCAAATACCACATCACCAAAGACCTCAAGAGCCAACGCGTCCTGAAGGCGGCCGCGCGCGACCTCGAGAGAAATGGTAAGCCCGAGCTCTGTAGACTGTCCGTCTGCTGTATTCTAACAAGACACCAGCACAAGGCAAGGGCCAGTCTCTGTGGTACCAATTCGAAGCCCAAGTCCGCCGCCTGCCCTCGACCGAAGAATGCATCTGGTCTCGCACCGGCTGCTACACATGGGCCGAAACCTATGCCAATGCCTGCCGATATGGCCAATACCTCCGCCAAAATGGCGTTGTCCCCGGTCAGCTCTTCGCCATGTACATGATGAACCGCCCCGAATTCTTATTCGCACACCTCGGTAGCTGGAGCATAGGAAGCGCGCCAGCGTGGATCAACTACAACCTCGCAGGCGATGCGCTGGTGCACTGCTTGAAAGTGAGTGGCGCCAAGGTGTTGCTTGTGGATGAGGATCAAGAGTGCAGAGATCGTATCGAAGCTGTGAGAGAGAGGCTGGAAAATGAACTGGGCATGACTGTCCTAGTCCTCGACACGGCTCTGAAGGGAGAGATATCCAGGCTGGAACCCGCGAGGCCCGAGGATGAGCTTCGGGTGGGCATGAAGGGAAAGTTCCCCCTCTTCCTGTTCTATACAAGGTCAGTGAGCATCATGGCAGCTGTTGCTGGAGCGGTGCTGATTATGACAGTGGCACGACTGGACACCCAAAAGCTTGTCCTTTCGAAACCCAGAGAGCGGTCGGTTTGACTCAACGTGTAGGTGCAATGGGGCTGAAGTCCGGGCCCAACGGCGACAGATGGTATGTCTGCATGCCTCTATACCACGGCACTGGAGGCACTACAGCACTCGTCTGCATGGTCACCGGTCTCACATGCTGTATCGGAACCAAGTTCTCAACATCCAGATTCTGGACCGACGTACGCGATTCGAGATCTACCGCCATCGTCTATGTAGGAGAGACCGCTCGTTACCTTCTCAACGCCCCTCCAAGCGATCTGGATCGGAAGCACAATGTCCGAGCCATGTTCGGAAATGGCCTTCGCCCTGACGTATGGCAGCGATTTGTCGACCGCTTCGGCATCGAGGTCGTTGGTGAATTCTTCAACAGCACAGAAGGCGTCATGGCGCTGTTCAACGGTTCTCGTGGACCCTTTACCGCCACGTCAGTCGGCCACCAGGGTATCATCGATCGCTGGCGCACCCACAATACCTACGTCCCCGTCGAGGTCGATATCGTGACAGGAGATCTCCTCCGTGATCCCAAGACCGGCTTCTGCAAACGAAAGGCCTATGAGGAGGGAAGTGAGATTCTCGTCCAGATGCCAAGCGAGCAAGCTTTTGTCGGCTACTGGAACAACCCCGATGCCACAGAGAAACGCTTCGAGCGCAATGTCTTCAAGAAAGGCGACCTCTATTACCGCACTGGCGACGCACTGCGCCGCGACGCTGATGGCCGTTGGTTCTTCATGGACCGCCTCGGTGACACCTTTCGCTGGAAATCTGAGAACGTCAGTACAGCAGAAGTCAGCGAAGCACTTGGCTCCTTCCCAGGGATTCAAGAGGCAAACGTTTATGGCGTCGAAGTGCCTGGCTTTGATGGTCGAGCAGGCTGTGCAGCTATTTACATCGACCCTGCTCATCTAGACTCCTTCAATTTCAACGCGCTACTTGCGCATGCGAAGAAGAAGCTGCCAAAGTACGCAGTACCTGTGTTCTTGAGGGTCCAGAAACAACAAACGACAATGCACAACAACAAGCAGAACAAGGTTCCATTGAGGAACGATGGCATCGATCTAAGGAAGCTTATGGAAAGGGCGGACAAGGAAGCCAAGGAGCAAGGGAAAGAAGAGGCTGAGTACGACACCATGTACTGGCACCCTGCTGCTCTTGGATCTGGCAAGGGCAAGACTGGTAGCGACGACGGCTATGTTGTTTTTACCATGGCGGACTGGGATTTGCTTAAGGGAAGCGTGGATGTAGAGGGCGGTGCCAAACTATAAGCTTTCCATTTTCATGCGTGCTTGGAGTTTTTAGCTAGCGTTCTTGTTTCGAATAGATTGTACATCTACATCCTGACCAAATCCTAACGATGCACTTGGATGACCATGAATGGCAGACTTGGGATGGATTTATAACTTCTCAAGAACAACCACACATCGCAGGACAACGTTTTGTATCACTAGAGGACTCTCGATGAATGCATTACACTAGTATCTCACATTAATCATCCTCGACTACATTCCTCCCTAGGCTGATGTATTACCTGTGTTCTTAATGATGAACGGACTTTCCACATACAGCACGGTTGAGCAACATTGCGTGAAACTGCCCATCTTCTTCAACAGATACAAGCAACATCATAGCACCAATCGATATGGGATTGGAGTATATCGCATCTGTAATCTAATATATAGGCTCTGCTGCACTGGTAGGGCGACTCAGACGAAATCTTCTACTAGTTGAGCTCCTGTTGAAGTTTCGTACTCTCATTGGTTTAGCTATTTGATCGAACCGTTTGAACGTAGGTAAACAATAGTAGTAGGTTGTAGTTGCAATATTTATCAGTTCTGATTATGCAATCCGTACGCGTTGAACTAGAATACGTAGTACAGTCAACAACAAAACACTGTGATCGCTTGATTGTTGATATGATTATTCATG